CCTGCAATCTAATTCAAAGAAATATGAGGTAAAACAAAGTCTAAGTCACCTTCAGTTGAAGTGATCCTCTCAGTTCTGGGCAGCAGTTCATGCCTTTCCTTGCTGGTAAGAGGAAAACGCTGGATAAGATTGTGAATCTGCTGCCTTGAGTTGTGAGTCAGCTGAAATCTGGCAGAGGAATTGGCTGCTTTCTTGTCCTCTTTTTTGAAGACGGTTAAAAATCTATTAGATCCTTTTCTGAAAAATTAAAAAGAATCTTTGATGATAAAATTATCATACTTAAACACATAATATGTTATCATTATTTAAAGCTTTACTTTATTTTTAAATAGTCTGTGCCAATGACAAGGTCAATTATATTTCAGACAAAAACATTTATAACTGAATTAAATTATCCATTGTATCAAACTTACTAATTTAATCAACATAAATACAAGATAAACATAAATGCCATATGTAAATTATTTATGTGACTGTAATGGGCTACGGACAGTAATCTGTAGCACACTGAACAACAAATTCACTTTGTATTATTTAATATGTATAACCCTTATTGCTGATAAATATTTCAAAGTATTGTGTAGGGTGTTTATATTTTTGCTCAGTGTTATATTATTGACAACTTGAAAATACTGAAAACCTCTACTTCCCCGAAATTCATAAATTAAATTACCCTCTACTTTTTGACTTCAGTCCCATGTCATCTGTCAGCCTATGAACATATGCTCTTTCTGTTGCAGTGAAAGAAGAAGGAAATTCCAGTTCTGGAGAAAAAAAAAAACAAAAGAACAATAGCAATGTATACAGGTTATCTGTTACAATATACAAACGTAATTATACCTTAACCTACATGCATACATGCATGCAAACCCACACACAATTATGAATGAAAGCAGGGATCAATCCAAGGCCCAGTAAAATATTATTGTTAACTGCCAATTTATGTATGTAATGGCAAACATTAATCAATAATAAATAAGATTAGGTCACATTGCTCATCAGAGAAGAAATGCACTTGCAATAACAAGAGCTTAATCTGCATCCAATAATGAACTAAAAATTTCAAGTATATCAGATTTTGTGTTTTTGGTCACATTGATGTCTTTATTACCTTTCTGTTCTGGATTTAGTCTGAATTTCTCCAGTGCTATATCCACTGCAATCCTCAGCTCTTCTCCCACACATATTTCCTGGTTTGGTCGAGGACCCCTGGTTGAACTAGAGCTTAGGCTACTGCTCACACTTGCTGGGCGAGAACCTGCACTGCTGGGTCTTTGCAGAATCACCCTGGAAATAATTGTGTTATAGGTTTTCCTATCTCTGTGCTTCAAATGTAAAATTGCATAGTTCACTCAATCCTGTGGCTACTATATTTACTAAGTATACAGTAAACTGATGATTGTTTCAGTAAACAATGTGTCCACTTGATAATCAGTATTAGCAAATCACACTACTATATACTTATATTTATACAATGATTCCTCCAAATGTAAGATGCTAAATGGTTGATCTATATTCTGACATAATCACTCTGCATCTTTTCTGACTGCATGAGGCCTACAAGTCCATATAACCATATTCTAGCTACCCTGTATATCTGTTCCCATATATACAATTCTCAGTTGTGCCAAAGTAGTCATATGAATCAAACTTTTGATTGGTGAATTCAAGTATGACAAAGTGTCAGTGTCATTTCTGATACTATTGGACTTATGGTTTAGACACATTAAGTTCACTGTTTGAGCAACAGCAATTAACTAGCATCTGGGGATGTGCAATCGTATAGTATGTACACATGCAGGCACAGTTCCAAATCTTGTAATTAAAACTTCCCCAAGGATTGTCTAACCTATATTAGAGTATGACCTGTGCATGTGCACTTAATATTGGAATAAACTCAAGCACAAGATTGAATACTAAAAAACAAATAGCAGAGTTTCTTTACCTTTCTATCCAAATGCAAGTCACAAGACTTGTACTTTTTTAAACTATTTTCAAATGCATCAAATACAGTACTTAATGTCCATCTATGTGACTGAAAGACTGTGATCTAAAGTCTGACAACCAAAGAAAAAGCAGCCATATTTTAAAGGAAAAGATAAGTTATAAAACAAAAAAGTGTCAAGATGTTCGACTATTAACAATGGTTAATTACCGCAAAAATTCTGTCATTCCCAGTTTGACAGAACTGCGATAGCAGGTCATTTCGGGCATTTGTTTATAATATTTATTTTTGACAACAACGAAAACTTAACAGAAAAATCGCAAACAACATTGTGCATAAGTAGCCCATAAGCTGTATCTGTCAACATACCTATGTGGTGCGGTGCTATTGCTGCTCTGCTCTGTGCAGATTGGCACAGAAGGACTAGATGCATGTGCCATATTATCGTCTCGCGCCGCCATTTTCAATGTTCTGGGAATTTAAAAAACCGTAAGGAGAGTAGCGTCTAAGAATAAAGAAAAGTGTACCTCTATCTTTGTATAAATCAGTGGTAGTCTATCAGTACTATTTTATGTTGTATAACTTTTATTATCAATTATCAAAAACAAAACAAATATGTTCTGTTGTAGCACAAATATGTTACATCATTATCTTGACAACCACATTCCCTTTCGCTCCCCACAAAATCAATACCAGGTGGCGGTAGCACGCGACATGGTAGCAAGTGCTTGGTGTAGGTAGTACAAGTGAATGTTTCAAAACACTCCGTCGGCATAATGAAACTTCTCTGATGCCAAGAGCAAGACGGAAACCTGTGCGATTTAGAGGTAAGAATCGATTAAAATCCCATATTCCAAATACCTGTTAACCCACTGACTCCCTGCCAGTTGTCTACAGTCATTCTAAGCCAAGCATTACTGCTACAGGCGGCCTGCTACAGGTACTAGTATTTACCATTTTACTCTGTTAGTTAGTACTACTGGTACAACATACTTAAAAATCTGAAGCTCAGGAGATAAGAGTGGTCTGTAAAAGTAAGTATCAATAGCACGTAATCACACAATTTAGATAAATCAGCTGCTGTCCAATTATTCCTAAATGTAAAGTCTTTTTCTAGATCATAGATATCAGTCTTTTAGTCATTGGTCTTTATTGCAACCCTGAAATGATGTATAAATGTTCACAGGGGAAACTGTCCTGATGGGTATACATTTGGTATGTTTTGTACCTGGCTGACCCATTTCCATAGGCGTTACGCAATAGTGTCGATCACTAAACTTCACTTTCCAAATGCAAAGTAGCTGGTATCTTATTGTTTAACAGCATATACATGTAAATATAAGTGGAGGTTATCCATTTTAGCCTTTTTTTACCCTTAAGATATCAGTAAGAGTTTGTAGACTACAAGCAATAATGCTAAAATCCTTAAGTTTTAGTTTAGCTATGCACTTTCCTTTTATTGGAAAATTGTATACTTTCACATCCACTAATAGACACTGAATAGACTCCCCGTGGAGAAGTATTCAAGTGAGTCGGCCATATTTGACCCTCGGACTAGCTGGCCCACTGTTCTGAATGCGACCAGGATGCGGCCAATTTCATCATTCATAAGACTTTATGTTATGCTATAACTGCATGGTTAATCTAGTCTTTGATATGTCCATCAGCGAATAGTAGACATCACATGCAAAAGATCTACACAGTTTTTACAGTATGTTATGTGTGTGTGTGTGGGGGGGGGGGGGAGTTATTTTGGGTCCCAACTTTAGAAAATGATGCATTTCTTAGGCACTGTGCTAAGATAAGAGGGTCATTTGTCATGGCAGTGCTCAAAGGACCCAAAAATATGCTTACAAAAACTTTGAAGAATATTCTAACATAGAGTGGATATTGTGAAGCTTGAGGTATTATTATACCCATTACATGGTTTTCATTGATCTCCAGGACTGAGATGTAGACATGTAGAATGTCAAAACCAGCCACAGTGAATCAGAATAAGAAAGCCAAAGCAGGTACAGTGTCATTTGTGTGATAAGCATGTCAACTTTTGAGTTTGCATGATAGGCTGGGTAGCTGAAGTTCTTGTAGGGATATATTGATTAAAATTGCATGTTGTTATTATATACTATAAAACCTCATTTGTTTGCAAATGCATGGTTATATACTGTACTTGAGTTTAAGTATTTGACAGCTTTTGCATGGTGACAATGTAGTAGAAATCTGATTAAAGCATTCTCCCCTGTGTGTCAGTTTGCATGCTAATTTAGTTTACAATACATATTACATAACAAACAATTTTTAGACTAAATGACATAATGGTCAAAATAGTTCTGTAAATTTGCATGTTTATATTTTTGAGTGAGTTTTGTATTGTTGAATTGTGAGGTTTGATATTTTGTTGAAGTTCAGTTTTGCTTTGAAATGGTTCAAAGGCATGGGCATGCTGTTCTTAATACTGTAATTTTAGGACTTGATGGTATATATGCCATTGAGGCTTTTTGTTTGTTTGTTTGTTTAATTGGATATTTTAAACACAATTAGAAGTATTTTACATTGCAACTTAAGGTGTTTAGAGACCTTACCTTGCCTCTGTTGCAAACAAATGGCTATCCGAGGGAGATACTAAATCTTAGTTACATTCACATAGTAGGCAATATTTGTGTCATATCCAGAAAAGGTATATTTATTAAGTGATGCATGTTGTTAGCATTTTGAAACATTATCTTTTAGGTTTTGAGCATTTAAAAAAACAAAACTGTATTTTTTTTAATGATTAAATGTCATTTGCNTGACCGGGGACTTATTAGCTATAGTGTACATGTAAATATAAGTGGAGGTTATCCATTTTAGCCTTTTTTTTACCCTTAAGATATCAGTAAGAGTTTGTAGACTACAAGCAATAATGCTAAAATCCTTAAGTTTTAGTTTAGCTATGCACTTTCCTTTTATTGGAAAATTGTATACTTTCACATCCACTTATAGACACTGAATAGACTCCCCGTAGAGAAGTATTCAAGTGAGTCGGCCATATTTGACCCTCGGACTAGCTGGCCCACTGTTCTGAATGCGACCAGGATGCGGCCAATTTCATCATTCATAAGACTTTATGTTATGCTATAACTGCATGGTTAATCTAGTCTTTGATATGTCCATCAGCGAATAGTAGACATCACATGCAAAAGATCTACACAGTTTTTACAGTATGTTATGTGTGTGTGTGTGGGGGGGGGAGTTATTTTGGGTCCCAACTTTAGAAAATGATGCATTTCTTAGGCACTGTGCTAAGATAAGAGGGTCATTTGTCATGGCAGTGCTCAAAGGACCCCAAAATATGCTTACAAAAACTTTGAAGAATATTCTAACATAGAGTGGATATTGTGAAGCTTGAGGTGTTATTATACCCATTACATGGTTTTCATTGATCTCCAGGACTGAGATGTAGACATGTAGAATGTCAAAACCAGCCACAGTGAATCAGAATAAGAAAGCCAAAGCAGGTACAGTGTCATTTGTGTGATAAGCATGTCAACTTTTGAGTTTGCATGATAGGCTGGGTAGCTGAAGTTCTTGTAGGGATATATTGATTAAAATTGCATGTTGTTATTATATACTATAAAACCTCATTTGTTTGCAATTGCATGGTTATATACTGTACTTGAGTTAAAGTATTTGACAGCCTTTGCATGGTGACAATGTAGTAGAAATCTGATTAAAGCATTCTCCCCTGTGTGTCAGTTTGCATGCTAATTTAGTTTACAATACATATTACATAACAAATAATTTTTAGACTAAATGACATAATGGTCAAAATAGTTCTGTAAATTTGCATGTTTATATTTTTGAGTGAGTTATGTATTGTTGAATTGTGAGGTTTGATATTTTGTTGCAGTTCAGTTTTGCTTTGAAATGGTTCAAAGGCATGGGCATGCTGTTCTTAATACTGTAATTTTAGGACTTGATGGTATATATGCCATTGAGGCTTTTTGTTTGTTTGTTTGTTTGTTTGTTTGTTTGTTTGTTTAAATGGATATTTTAAACACAATTAGAAGTATTGCAACTTAAGGTGTTTAGAGACCTTACCTTGCCTCTGTTGCAAACAAATGGCTATCCGAGGGAGATACTAAATCTTAGTTGCATTCACATAGTAGGCAATATTTGTGTCATATCCAGAAAAGGTATATTTATTAAGTGATTTATTAAGTGATGCATGTTGTTAGCATTTTGAAACATTATCTTTTAGGTTTTGAGCATTTAAAAAAACAAAACTGTATTTTTTTTAATGATTAAATGTCATTTGATTGCATGATTGCATTTTCAACAGTGTTGTCCTTGTATTTATAACAAATTGTGATCTCTCCTAACACAATGCCCTCAGAGTTGTTGTGTCTGGACACATTAGCAGCTACTCTGCTGTAACACATGGCCACATATAACATATAAAAAGCAGACATAAAGTGATTAAATATTTAAAACTATTGCTATAGCAGCTGATGTCAAACAAGACCAAATCTTGAAAAAAAAATTTACGAGTAACTCATAAAATATACAGTGAAATGTAAGAGCTAACATTTCAGAGCTGCCTTGCAGGGTTATGGAGTTGCTCAATGTCTCCTGCTGTTTTGGTTAGATTTTCTTTTCTGTATTTTTTTTTTTTAAAGTAAAAAAATTAGTGGTGATTTTTAGCAAATTGAGTTTTTTTTTTTTTTTTTCAGCTTCAAACTGTTGTATGTACTTTGATTTTTAGATTGTTAGATTAAGATATTCAGTCATTTGCAGAGAAATCTTTTGTTGTGATGATATAGACTTTTGTATTTTATTTAAAAAATGGTTTAGAGGTATGGTTATCAAGGTTTTTTGTGTGTGTTTTAGCATCAAGACAATGTTAGTTCCGAATTCTTGTTGAATTTTTAAAATCTGCTTTAAAGTACTTGTGTCTTATTTTGCCAATACCTTTGAATAGCATTTTCATCATTAAATCACATGTTCAGTTCCCGCAACTATTTTCACATCAAGTGACCAATTACTGCAAAATACCAATTTTAGAACATTACACTCTATGCATGTTGCTATGTTGTATTATTCCTCTCATAGGTCTAACCCGGACTCTTGGTGTGTCCCTATGAGGAGACCATGCCTCTCTGACACTACTTCAGTTCATCAGCCAAGGTGAAGGTGATGATATCCAGACACGTCAGGGGTCGTGTAAACATATGAAATATTCCCCTAATCTAAAATAATCCTTTGAATAGTCTGTAATATTTCAGCCATATCATTTATACAAAAATATGAGCAGCACAGTCCCAGCCTGAGTGTAAATGTGTAATATATCAAATGGAAACACAAGCATAGTATGAGGGTATGTCATTACTAGACTTGCCTGCAGCTGAACTGTCTATCACAGTAGCATACAAGCAGTAATTCTTTTTTTAACAAGAGAAACAGTTGTGCACAGTAATACAAAGCAAGCGCAAAAAAACATATATCTATCCTTGTGTAGGCTACCATGTGTTGGATGAATTATTGTGTTAAGTTCTGTTGATTAAGTCTATGGCACATGACCTGCATGTAGATTGTGGATTTGCATGCATAGACAATACAGTGATATGCAAACTAGGGCACCAGATTGCCCTCTCTTCTGGTCGACCTGTCATACCTCTCTGTCATCTCCTTCTGTTCATTTTTCTCCCCTGTCCTATCTACGTAGTATCACATGGTGACAGGTTATCTATCTCCAGATGGAACATTTGGTTGATCTTTGGCAGAGTGTGCTGTGTTTGGACATTGAAATTTTGGCACAGCTCAGAGGACTTTACTACAGGGATGGTGTTAGATTTTGAAAATAATTAGTGTCACACTGCTGGAGAAGAGGAAACATTTTGATATTTAGGACTCTGGCATTTATATATGTATATATATGCTGAGGGGCAGTTGGCAGACCGTGCTTTTTAGGGTAAAGAATGGCTCTGTAAATTCATTGCTTGTGCATTGAGGTTGACTTTGTTGCATTGCTACAAAAATATAATATAACAGGTGAAAAGATTAACTCCACACCACTTTATAGCTGGAGTAGGAAGGCAACAGCTTAAGGGATTTTTCATACTTTTCCTTACAAACTTAAAGAAGATGTGATAAAGCTGTGCATGGTGTGGTATTTTTATATGTTGGACAGATCTATCTAGTGACTAGTTCTTTTGGCTGCAGTATTGCTGGTGACTAGGCCATTTGCTGCACTGATGACTAGTAAGAGAGACAAAAAAGTCAACAACAGCTGTGACAAATCTTCTGTGACATGCTACTAGGAAAATCAAAAGGAGAGAATTGTATTACTTTTAGGCCACTGAAACACCGATTGTCCTTATAACCTGGAGGAGGCGCATTACCTTGTGGGGTTTAGAAACATGACAGTCATTTGACAACAAACTGAGAGAACAAAAGGATAAGTGCTTCAGGGTACAGTGCCATGTTGCTGGGAAAACTAATAGAGGCCCGTCACTTGATAAAAAATTAAAACTGAACTGAAGTAAGACAGTTTGCTGTGAAAAAAAAAAGATATAGAGGCACTGCAGACATGATCACAGCATCAACTAACTAATTTGCTTTGAAAATTGAAAAAGATTGAGGTTGTGTGATTACAGCAGCAACTGTGATATTTTACTAGGGGAGATAATAGATATGGAGTCGGTTGAAGAGAGCGAGGACAGTCTGGCACAGGAACTGGAAACGGGAGAAAAATCAGGTTGTGCATTCTATCATTGATATTTTTCTTACATTGCTGCTACCATGCAGATATATAAACACAGGATGAAAGAAGTAACCTGTTTGTTTTCTAAATAGTTTACATGGTGGTGTGAATGAGGTGATGTTCTGCTCCAGAGGAAGTTGGGAGTTAATCACTCTTTTTATTGTATTTTAAAACACATCTCAACCTAGGATACAAATAGCATTAGCAGCAGGAATTCATTACTCAGATGAAGTTCAATCCAAACTCATTAAAGTACACATGTGGAGACTGTACATACCTAATGTAGCCATTAAAATGTATATTTTGTGAAAAACCTAGTAGATACCCTTAAAAGCACTTTTTGCCTATGGCACAACCTTAGATTTATTCTTCTGCTTCTCTTTCTTCGTCTGGCTTTTTGCAAATGAGTACTAGTAGTTTTTAGGACCATCAAGTTGAAGCCTTATACTTTTTTCTACAAAATGTGTATTAAACCAATACAATATAAGATTAAACTATCATACATGTATGTAAAAAAAAGTCCAAAGCTCCTCATATATGTGATTGAGGCTGGAGCATGCTGGTTGTTAATGTTACTCAATCCATTCCCTTTTTTTAATGAAGTTTTAAATGCTTAATCAACATCTTGTTTATTATTCACTGTTGGTAACAGCGTTTCCAGTGTGCTTGTTCAATATGTCTCAGACCTACATGTAGAATAGAAATGTTATCATTCCTGTGTGCCATTTCAATATGTCTTAACCCTAGAATAGAAATGTTATCATAGCAGTTATAGGTGACAGCTGGGGACGATTGAAAGTGCACATCATCACAACAATATGAACTGATCTTCTTTGGGAAGACCTAGACCCTTCTCATCACTGATAGATAAACATCATTACCCATGGTAGATTATTAAATTTTCCGTTTGGTTCACAGTGAACCGTTATGCGGTAGAATATATTTGTATGCTATGTTAAGATATATCCCACACATATGGCATACATGTATCAATCAGATTGTTGATATGCATAATAGGTCTAAAATCATTTTTCAGTATCTGTTTAAAATTCAGATGATAAACCCCAGTACATGATTTACATTTTTCAGATTATAAAGATTATCACCTTTATATAGATAAATATCATTATTTCTCCTCCAGCCTTTAATCATGACGTCTAAAACCAAAAGAATGAAAAGCAGCTCCAGGCTTTAGTAGATAATAGACCATAAGAGAGACATTATTTCATGAAATGAAAGCTTACACCTTAAACAAAATACTTCAGGAAGTTCCCACCTCCAGCAATTTGTCCTGGTGACAGGTCGGATGATTACTGTAGAAAATGGCAGTCTGTGTTCCTGCATGGTACTGGGTTACATTTACATAATAATTTATGATGTGTAATGATACATGATTATATCATTCGATGACAGTGTTATCTTCCCATTACTTCAGATTCTATAGACAGTGACCAAGAGAGTATCAGCAGTGAGAAGAAGACAGTCAGCTCATCCAGTCGACCATCCAGTCCTGTGACTAATAGACAAGGGAGCAATTCGAACCCTCAGGTACATATTGTTGTTTTCATGATAAAAAAAGTTCTAGAATAGATATATTTTGAGTGTCACTCCTTTCTCTCATCAGTTTTTACAGTAATAGTATGAAGTTGAAAGGCATAGAAACATATACACCTGTTGTAGTCTTTGCATGGTTTACTGTTTGAACATATGTGAAAGGAATTAGTTTTGCACTATCTGTGAATCAATTTAAGACGAGTGAATGCACATGCTATGTGATGATATTCTTATATATATGTACTACACTAATTATATGATGTTTAAATATACCTGGTCTATATATTTTATTATATTTTTAACAAAATACCACCTAGACTGACAGAATATCTACATGTAGCTTAGATATTTTTATATCTAGACACTATGCATTTATGGCCTGCTGTACAGCATGTGTTGTTCACTCTGTAACTTCCAAGTCATATTTTTGTGGCTCTGTTTGGAAGAAAATGCTTCCTTTAAAAAAAATCTGCATGATCCAAATTGTTTTTACAAAAGTTACTTATCTATTTTAGAGGGACTTTTTTTCTGTTAAATGTCCTTATATTTGCCAGTTTCGCAGTCTAATTTGGTTTATTTTTGTCTGCTTAAAGCTTTTACTCTTTTTTGATAAGGAAAGGTTGAATGAAAATAGTTGTATGGGTATGTGGAGGTGGGGGGGGGGGGATTGAGAGATCACTTCTTTGAGGATAGAAAATAAAGTTACTGGTGAATGGAGTCTTCTCTTATAAATTGTTTTTCTCCATTTTAGGACTCCTTTTTTAGCCATATTGTTGCCTCTTAATAGTCATGACAATTATTGCACTTGTTGAAGTGAGTTACACATCAACTTACAATTTTACAGAAAGCTTGTACATTTGTATTGTAATACTGCTTAGAATTGCAGAAATTGTGATAATTGTGATGCATTCATTTGAGATTGCATCAGTTGAGATCAGAAAATTGCATCCCACCTAGCATATCCCACACACCTTAAATAAGTGCTGGTCAAACTGAATAGATATTTAAGAAGTGTGAGGTGTGGAACCCTAAGACTTGAATATTTCTTGAGATACAGATAGTTTAAACCGCTAGAGTGAGAATTTATTATGTCATATTGTATATTTTGGTTGAGTTCAGATCCATCAAGATTAACAGAGGCTGAGGGTCTAGCTTGTTCTGTATTAACACTGTACTTAAAGTGTCTGTATATAGTCTGATCGACTTTTTGTCCTTGCCATCTGAAACATTGGTTTAATTTGTAACTGTCAAACCATTATCATTTTCCTTCATATTTACCTTTAGATACATTGAAAATTAGTATTTAAAGTGAACTCATATTTCTGTTTTAGTTTTAATCGTTACAGATGAAGTTCAAACAAGAGTGCAACTTGATTTATTTTTCTCAAAAGTTAGAACTCATCCTGTGGGATTAGGAGGTATTTCCAAACAATTCACCCCTGTAAAAACCAAAGTATATTCTTTTGTGAATTTTTAAGGATGTTCTGTATTGTAACAATACTGAAATGCTTAGATGGACAGTTATATAGAAATTATTCTTTTGGAAGTTTTCACCAATTTACCCTTTATAGCAAGATGAAATGAATATGTATTTGAGAACAAGCTTTTAATGAAAAATTTTAATGCACTTAAAGAAACTGGCCTACATAATGTATACATTCATTTACTTATTTTTTGATGGGTTTCTCCTGGTGTTCAGATGAAAATTTTCGGCAATCTTCAAACGGAATTTTTAAATCTCTGTAGTTATCGATTTTTACAAACAGCCAGTGAATCTGTATTTTTTAATGTTAATGTTCAAAGCTTGTATCTATGCTAGCCGTAGTGTCTACTTCAATTTTTGTACCATCATATTTTTTATATTTAAAAAAAAAATCAGTGGTGAATAATCAAATGTTTTTTCTTTTTTAAAATTATTTTTAGCATTTGGTAAAAATAGCTAAAATCCTATATTGAACCTAGATGAGATGGGTAACCTGGTGTTACCTTTATGACCTGTGATAACATAAAGAAAATGAAAAAAAATATCTCATTTTATTGGGAGTGAATCCTGATTTAGGAGAGGGTTCATAAGTTTATTAATATTGATCTCTTTGCCGGGGTTTCAGTGGGGAAGTCATTGTAGGGTCTCAGTTGCTCATGCATTTGAGAAGATTATTGTTTAACAGTGCACTGATCTTGTGAATGTCAATGTCTCTCTTTGGGGACACATTGGCAGTCTGCGAGCCCCTGTGGCAAACTCATTAGTTGCAAATTCATTGTGCACTTTCCTGGACTGCTACTACGGCCAACGAGGCCCAGAATCTGGATGGGAAAGCATTTGGAACACCTCTGCATATTGATCATTCTTTGCTGCTAATAGCAAAAAACCTGGCACTTGACTAAATAAAGTGTAAATAATTTATAGAACCTTTCAAGATAGATGTGCTACCAGATACGAAACACCAAATCAGTTAAAACCTCCCACTGTTCTGAGGACAAAGGATTAGGCAAAAAAAGGAATCTTTTTTTGTAATTTCAATGTGGGGTAAATAATAAGAAATGAAAATGCACTGAGTTATTAACAATTGGCTTGCACGCCTTGATGAGCATTGTGTAAATCTTTTTAAAAAATTATCATCATAGATGGCTTAATAATGATGTAGCATGAAGTGGCTGCTTTGAATCAAGATTTCACCATGGGAGGAGGCCGCAACTCCACTCATGCTATTCATAGGCAGGGGCAAAAAAGAATTGACAAGGTGATACACTTAGAAGACACCTGATACTTTCAAAATATATTTCTTTAACACAGCAGGACATAAATTGTATTGTTATTCTTCAAAAAATAAGGGAAAAAATTGAGAAGAAATTTCAAGCACATAAGTTGCTTTGTGTATGCCACTTGGCACGCAATTTCACAGTAGCATTTTTGTAAAGCATTAAGGTTAATGATAGGCCCCAATGCCAATGGTTTTTAAATTGACATAGTAACACTTATAAAAAACTCAGAAGTGGGTGCCCATTATTTTTGAGTATGCTGGTTAGTCACAGTATCAGCCTCTTTTGCAAAAACAACATAAAGGAATTCCACTTCTAAGTCACTTCAATAGTGGTGGAAGTATGTGTTTTATATGTCCCATGCATATCATGTTTAACTAAGCTAATACCCTTGTTATAAAACAAGTTCTCAAGATTGCATTTTAAAAACAGGTTTGGACAATTGAGGTTTGAAAGGAAAATATAAAACCCCGATTTGTGGTGCTAAACAGCCCATTCAAGCCCTTTGTGTCACCCTCACTTGTGTGGAAAATTAGCATTAAGCCATTGCTTATGATTACTATGTTGGAAAATGAAGTTAAAATATTAGCTGTGTAAAAGCAGACAAGGCATTCAGGTGAGCTGAGGCAGTGTATGGGCCTCCATTTACCTGAGCAAATGATGCACATGATGCCCCGATTCAAACAGGCTGTCTCCACTACCGCAGACTGTAAATACCCTATTGAGACCCTCTATTGTCCAAACCCTACTCCGTCACTCGTCTATATTGATCACTTTCTTATGCTACAGTTATTAAAATACTTGAGCCAGTAACATGCATGTCTATCACATTAGAAAGTTCTATGCTCGGGGATACAAAACGGGCAATAGAGCACATATCAAATGATGTTTATTTATCTGCAGGACCTTTAGAAATCCAAGCCCAGGTTACTTTTACCTGGGGTAATCTGCTGACTGGCCTTATGACATAGGTGTAGAGCAAGCCTGATCACACCAGCAATAAGTTTACTGATCTTATCACCTGAGCACTACCAGGGTCTGCTACAGAATTTGTTGTAGTAGGTAGGAGACACTTGTATCTTGAGGCTTAGGAGGAGAGATAACTGTATACACACTGATGGAGAGCTGGCTTACTGACTGCTGAAGGGGCTAGCAGGGATTTTTCAGTGGGTTTAGGGCCTGAATACATGTGAACTCACAAGAGGCACACATCGTAATTGCATTATAAAGGGACAATAAGCACCACCTTGAAAGAAGGATTTGATTCATAAGATGCTGGCTTCTTTTTAACGGTGTGGTCAATTAACACTATCAACTATGGGGTGCAAAGAATAGGGAGGAGGTGATTGTGGTAGTTTTAATGGAACACATCCTGGCCCGTGTAATTTGACCAGATTCTGAATTTCTGGACAGAGTTAGTTGTGGTTAGGTGAGGGGAAGAGGATACCTACAAATACACAGCTTAGTCCAGGTAGCAACAGGAGAGGAGGGGCTCTGACTGATCACTTAATTTAAACCTGTGCATGCACCATCAGGAAAATACCAAAGGTCTCAAATCAAGACACTTGGAAAGCAAGTGGATGTTTGGATTAATTCAGAAACGTTCATACTCCCTACTAAAGGATTCATGATTTATCAAGTTATCAAGTCTTTTGCCTGCGGAAAGAAATAAGGACATGGTGGACTGGTACGAACTGGCAGATTAGGTTCATGTCTACACTGGAGTATATATACATAAATATATATTAACCCAGTGGCCAGCCAAGTTCTGTATCGTAGAATTTGTGTTTACAGGGATTATTGATAATCTAAGCAAATGGTCCGACTGATAGCGAATTTCCTCCTGGCTAGGAACGTGTAGTCATACAACTGAATGTGATACGCAAGATTATTGGATCAAGAGTGCATTAAGATCCAATCGCATGGATATTTAACTTCTAATTGATACATCAGCGGACTTTATCATACATATTGTTAATCTCATCAGAATATGCTGTATCCGCTTCTTCAAATTTCTCGAACATCCAGGTCAGAAAACTGAAGCCAATAACGTGACAGTTAATCTCATCAGAGTACTCTTTATAGTCTTCTTCAAAATTCTTGAACATCCAAGCCAGAAAATTAAAGCCATCAATGCGAGGAAATAGGCTTTATTTGTAGGCCTATACACTAGTGGATAATTTCCAGAGGTTTTGCTGATTATTTTAATGTCCTGATATTTTAATCAAGAAAAGAGAGATTTATGAAGACAACATGATGATGGCTAACATGATGATGGTGCAGGTAATGGTAGATTCCAATGGGGAAGGATGGCCATGTTATAATGAATCAAATTAATTAATACACTCATTGGCAGGAAAAGCTGAAATTGTTTGAGTTTAAATGATTGAACAGCCTTTAATGGGGATGATATTGACAAAGCGCAAGTTTTCTGTTTATGCACTTTTATGAAGGGTGTCCTGTAGTTTTTAATACAGTGATTCAAAGTGACATTTTTCCGTTTGTTCCCTCCCTTCTCCCCGAGATGAAAATTTGAGGAAACTTTGTTATAGCAGGCAAGACTTTCCCAAGGTAACACTAACATAATTCTTGATTTAGCAAAAAAGAAAAAAAAAAAAGAAAAAAATCTCAGCAAAGGAATGATATAATTTTTTTTTCATTAGTCAGCATTTGGTGAATGTGTCTGCATGTTTGTGTGAGCCAGGATTCCATTAATGATCAGACTTGCTGGGTTTTGGGATTAAAGTCAAGTAAAAAAACTTATAGTATATTGAATGGGATGTTTTCAGCCTCACAATTAAATTGAATTTGACCCAAAAAATGAGAAATACTGGTAGCTTCATACAGCTAATGACAAATAACAGAAATTCTTTTATACTTGAATAAACAGCATGCAACAACTCCGTCATAGGATATAATCCTAATAATATGTTTGGATGAAGACTTTATGTGCTTCCATTGAACATAGCTTACAGTAATTACTCAATCTTTTCGATGGGGGAAAATTGTGAATTTTACAGATACTGTATTTTTTTTAAGTCAAAATTTCTTTAAATTAAACAGTTCTATTGAGTGGTAACAACAAAATTAAAAGGCAGCCTTCTCTTTTGTTCTGTTCTATGCAGTAAAAATACCACATATGCTTTATAATAATATAATTTTTGTGATTATAAAATTATGTATCCCAAAGTTTGATCACTTTTGCCCATTGATAAGATCAAGTCATTACTGTCATGATATTTCTTGTAACATCTTTAGATGCCAAAACTTTTGAAAATAGTTTAGTAATTATTCAGGAATATAAGTATTTTAAATTTTATATTACTATTTTAGTGTATGTCAGTTGTTTAGACTGAAGTAGATAGGTTGGATTGCCCAGACTGGATTCAAAACAAAAGTGCAATTTGTGATGTTATCTTATAAAGTGATGACCACAAGAAAAATTAGGAAAGAATAAATCTTTGACTCTTCCTGGGGATTATTGATTAAGAAAAATGTCAACAAACTAAATCCATTACTGCTGTCTTTGATACATCAAAATTACAACCAATTAAGCTGTGTAATTACTCTGCATCCATTTTCATCACATTTATTGACCAGTATTGATATTGTTTATTTGCATAAATAATGACTGTTTTTCAAGTGCTCATACAGTGGTACAGACTGTTCTGTGGTACAGACTAGGTGTGTATGTCACCTAGACCTAAGGTCAGAGGAGTCTAGAAACTAGTATAGAGTGAGTTTTTCTCTCTTCTCTGCCCCTCTGGCTTGTTGTCTTTATTAACATCCTTTGAGGCAAATCAAATTGGCTGTGGGATTGTCCGTTACTTTTAAGGGCATTCTGTTTTGCAGGAATGTTTTCGTTTGTTGGTTTATTATCTTATTGTTTTATGTTATTGATTTTCTTGTTATTGATTTTTACTCATTTGGATGTGGTGATGCTTATACCTGTTCATCCCTTTATGAGGTTCTGTTTCTTTTGAATCACTGACATCTCTTTCTATGGCTCACTTTTATCATACAAAAAAGAGAGTGAAATAGAGAAATTCCGTTTTTACTGCTTTGAGTTTTACAATTAAATTAGATCTTTTTGTATATATATCTCCTTATTGTAAATAAATAATGAGTATTTTTTTACCCTTTTCCCCAAAAAGGGCCCCACCCTAGATTGTAAAGAATGTGTGTGTATTGATTGAGTCTTCAGCGTCCTTCATTGCCCTTGGTTCCAGACTGTTTGTGCTTTATCCTATATCTGTCCAGATGGAGATCTTTGTTCCCTGACTGGAAGCCCTCTTGTCTCATTGAATTTGAAGTCAATCTCCAATTTCAACTCCCATTGGTAGCTGTACAGTTAAACCACCAGAGTGAATTCCAGCTGCCTAAGTGTCTAGCATCTCAACCGTGTCATTGATTGAAAATAAGGGAAAGAAAAAATGCGACCTACTTTTCCGTTTGAAGAGATTGAAATGTTGGTGTCAGCGTCTTTGTTGAACTACAGTTTCAAAGGGATTTGTTGTTTAACTGTGGCACAAAAACCTCTGCAGTATTGTATGAAAGGGTGGGATGCTTTGACTTTTATTTGCAACAGTTGCATGAAAAGAATTGATGGTTTCATATATTGTGCAAGTTTGGCTTTTTCACTTACAATTGAGAAAAGTTCAAGGATTACAGTCTGGTGTGGCAGAAGATGAGATGGTATTTAGAATACCACATTGCACTTAGGAGAATAATGTTCTTTTGTGAGGGATAGCAACGTGCAAGACCAGTGTATGTTTTCTTAAAAACATTGCTATTTACTGTATTGATTAAAAAATGCAGGTTCTGGAGTTCCTTTTCAGTTCAAGTTAGGCGTGTTGTATTGCATTCACAAAATAAAAAATCCCTATTGATTTTCTATTTCTTAGATACTGTCATGCTTATCACAATCTCTGAACAAAAATTAGTGGCAGTATCTTACTAATGGTTTCCACCAGGATATATCAGACATTCATGTAATCATCTAAATTAATGGTAGTATCTTATAAAATTTAAAGAAAAAATATTTAAGAAAGATTGTGTAATTTCTTCCAGTATGCTGTATGAACTCGTACCGAGTAACATTGTAACATCGAAGTGAACTCTGTAGTATCTTGAGAGTCTGTAACTTTGCAACCAAAACAATTTAGTTCTCAAGAAACTTTTTATTATTATTATTATTATTATTATTATTATTATTATTATTATTTCAGCCCAGCCCAAACAGCCTTCCAGATCTGGTTCCCCCATCCATTCTACCAGGAGGTGAAACCATAGTGGCAGGGAACCCTTTTGACGACCCTCCTCCACCACAACAACAGTTGAATATCACATCATCACAGCATCAGCAGCAGCAACAAAAACAGCAACAACTTCAACAACAGATCCAGCACCGTAACATGATGAATAAGATGCCACCCCCTCATGGTCCCCAGGGACCTCACCCTGGTGGACCACACCCAAGTGGTCCTAACGCACAAAAAGTGTACCCTCCAAATCAACCAATGGTGTTCAACCCTTCCAACCCCAATGCGCCACCTATCTATCCATGTGGAATCTGCCACAAAGAGGTACATGACAATGACCAAGCAATTTTATGTGAAAGTGGATGTAACTTTTGGTTTCATCGTATATGTACAGGACTAACAGAGGCAGCCTACCAAATGTTAACACATGAGGTATATGCTGAGTGGGTGTGTGATAAGTGTCTAACTTCAAAGAATATACCACTGGTTAAGATGAAACCTTAATGAAAAGACTGCAGTTGCACTTTTACACCAATGGTAAAAAAAAAAGAAATGTGGTAAAAATCAAACCATGTTTATGTCATTCTTTAAAGACTTTGTAATGAAAAATATGCATATTTTTGTTTTTGTTGTTTTTATGATGGTGGAATTGCTGATTTAATCAAAAGAGTTCAGGCATGTTTACATGGCAGATTGAAATAACTAAGAGTTATAAACTGTTTTTCGGTTGTTCAGTTAGATACATATATGTATCTGGCATTCTTCAAATTACGTTTTTTAAATGAAAAATGTGATTTCTTTTAATCTTCCAATATGTTGGCATTCACAAAGTGTTTTGTTACATTTGTTCAGTAGCCACATGGCTTTATCAGATGTTTTGTGCAAGTATCAAAATTCTAGCGTTAAGGGTTTTTAGGTATGTTAGGTTTTTTTAAGTAGAGAAAAAAATTAACTGTTATCTTGATAGAAAGCATGTTCTCTTTTTGTACAGAAATGCCAAATTGCCAATGGTTCACATGGCAAGACAAGATCAGTATCATCTTCATCTGTTGGTGAGCGATTTATATTTGAAGTGTAATGCCAAAGGGGAATCTCGGTGACCCAATTTTTTTCAAAAAAATTGAGGAAATATTTTTTGGGAATAGTGAAGCCAGCAGATATTCAAAATCAAAGTTTTCTACATCCTTCAAACAAGGGGGGGGGGGGGCGTGTTTGACTTATTTGTGGGTTTTTTAAAATTACATGCAAATTCACTTTCATTAACATTAAAAGACTATTTTTTCATCTTGTAAATGTTTTCTGTATGATGTACATTTATAAATGTATATAAGATTTGTACACAAATATACATCTTGTGTGTTCTTAAAGACCTGTGTTTGTTTTTGTATTACTCGACTGAAACCAAATGTAATAAGTTTAAGCAGATGGTTTACTTCATTATGAATAAAAATATTTAGCAAAAAAAATGGGAGTGTGTTACTTCCAGAAGTATATAAGTGGGAAAAGATATCAAATGAAAAAGTGAAAAGAAATTACTATACCATGCAAGATTTACTATATGAAAATGGTTGTGCAAAGTTATGAACTCATAAAGGAACATCAAGTTACATGTTAAGTCAAATCTTTGCTACTAAACCTAAGCAAACACCATCACATAGCTTCAAATAGCATAACTTAAAGAAATACCAAAGTAAAAAGAAAAAATATTAATTTTTTTTTTTACTTTCTTTTTGTGCTATATATTTATAAATATATCCCTCAATCATTTCTGCCAATGCTCATTTGAATATTTACTACATCATTTGTTGGACTTTAAAGAACTGGAGGGACAGATTAATAGGTTGAGTTTATGACAAGAAATTTGAAGAAGGTGCAGTTTTGAAGTTATTCTTTGGCTGACCAAGAGATTAATTTGGTTTACCTTTTGGTACATCAACTTGATTTGAGTAGTATAAGAAACTAGTAGATGTGGTTTATTTTCCTTACAGGGAATCTATTCTTGCTTCATAAGTTTAAGGCATAGTGTAAATTTTTGTATTTTAATTAAGTTTGTGACTAAAAAGCATTATATGATTTAAATATACCGTTCTTGACACTTGAACTTCATAGGTTGTAAAAAAACACATTGAAATTCCAGATCACGCTCAGGGATTTTCAAAGGTTAGAGATAGTAATGAATTTCAATGGGAAAAACTGAAATGATGAAAGTCTGATAAAGGCATTAAATGGCATTTTCTCACTGATAAGGTAAGGTTAAAGTTTTTATGGAGTATTTTGTGCCAACAATTCAGCCCATATACTGTAAAGTGATGCAAGCCGTGAAATAAAAATTCAAGAGGATTAATTATCATACAGCGTGGAAGCCACCTTTTTTTCCTGAAAGTGTACATAAATGCTCATCTTAAACTGGTTCAAGTGCAGATGTGTCTAATGATTTCTTAAGATGCTGGTAGTGTCACATTATTTTATATACCGTGTAATTTCCTGGATGCTTACCAGACCAGAGGAGTATTATGCACTTGGCAATAGTGCATTATGTCGTCTGATAAAAGGTCCACCTGTTAAAATATTGGTAAATGAAGTAAGGAAATTGATAGATGGCAGAGCAGGGTCACAAACTTAATGAAGATATTATATTACAGATTTTCAATTACCCTAGTAGCATTGGTGTATTGAGTTGAGAATTGTTTACTTTTGGATTTACATAACATCACAATTTAGACAGCAACTTTTAACATAGACCACCAGAACATATTTCAATTGAAGTTGGATGTTGGATATTGCTTAATTTTCTTAATTTTAACAAGAAAAAGGAACCAAACTTTTCAATGCAATGGAAAGATGATGAAAAAAATATGTACACCTCTCTGATTATGAGACCTTGTCAGTTGATTAAGAAGGCAAACTGAGAATTTTCCACACATTTTGCTTCACAAGTGCCTTGAACATGATAATTATGGTGTATCATTTGTATGTTGGGAATCAATAGGTTCTATCTTACTGTCTGTTAGGTTGTTGCTGGTTGCATGTGGTATAATGTTGTCTCATGGCCAAAGATTGTCTCAAATAGTGGGGAATTTTTAATTTTTTTCAATATAGTTATATGAACTGCAAAATTTCAACAGCATTTAACAATGCAGGGATAAGTGATGTGTTTAAAATATCAGATGGAATTTTAAAGATGCAAGCTTTCCCATGACACTTATTTATCATTACTTTGATTAGATCAGATGTCAGATAGTAATATATATGCTGCAGACGCTTCTGAAAGTTGGCTTAAGGTCGTTAGTGCATGGGGATGCACTACCACGACCTATTGTTTTTTTTTCCTCTTCAAAACTCTCTTGAAAAAGCTAATCAGCACAAGGAGGCTGAGGGTGATGACAATCTGGTCCTGCTGCCGACTTGTCAGTGCACTACTTCCTGGCCAGAGACAAAACCCAGTCAATTCACACCTGTAAGTCAACCCTACACACAGCAAGTAATCAATGCTGCCATTCAAGTCAATATGTTGACAAAGTACTTGTTAACAGCAGAAGACTGCTGGGGTAGCTTGCGCACCCATCCTTGAAAGAACTTGTTGACTCGGGTTTTCCTTTGGTGTAAAATTTCAGCGCATCCCTGGATTTAAAGTCGATGAGATGTCAGGCTTCTTTTAGTTTGTTAATTGAACCAAATTGCCGCCAATTGGAGGGCATAAGGTAACATGTTTCTTTGGATAGCAATTTTTAAGAATAAATAAATAAGTAAAAGGTATGTTAACAAGGATGTGATTTTTAAAATATTTTTGCTGCATGATCAAAAGTTTAAGAGATTGAATAAAAAGAAACAATTTTCTGGAAGGTTGAGATCAATTTTCAAGTACTGAACTTCCAATACCATCACCTTTATACTGTTGATGTAAAACAACAGTCAATGTATAGACTGCTCTGTAAATTTTGCAACTGCAACTGGCAAATGTGTTTATTATCTCACTACTCTGGATTTAGGGCTTCTTATGTTTTAAGTTTATGTCCTAAGAGTAGCTTTCCTAAATATGACCTTCATTGTATGTCTTCTTTTTCACAGCTGTCCATTAATGAAATTCAGCAGTCAATTGTCCAGATTCAAAGGAAAATTCAAGGATAACTACATAAAAACTGTTATACTTTTTTATTAAGAGGGATTTAAAGCATTCAAAAACATTTGGAAAATAATACACATTAAGAATAATTATGTAGAAATAAATACTCCTTAAAATGTGAGGAAAAGGTGAATTGATTTATTAATATTTACATAGCTTTAGTTTCTTTCTCTAAGAAACAATACTTATAATCATATCTATTAATAGTGCCTAAGAAAACAAGAAAAACATTTGAAGCTTTACTGCAACTAAATTTTAACTAAAAAAACTTGAACTTATTCTCATCGTGTTACATTTCTTTTCAATTCAAGAATAAACTGTTAATTGAGCATTCATAATTGCATCAAATCATATAAAGATCTGAAAAAATATCCATAAATATGAGCTGTAATACTGGTATGATAATGTTTAAGCTTTAAACAAAATCAACATAATTACATATATCAAAAGAAGATAATTTCATCTTTAAACATAAAATTGAAAGCCCTTATGAGGACAAACTCCGGACGGATATCAGCTACATAGGAAAAATTCTGTCCTACAATAATATATGTAAGTATATGCTAATTGTGAATAGTTAGAAAAGCTGTGTAATAATGAATGAGGTTTAATCACATGACATTGATAAGACACTGGCATTATAACCATGATAAAATTTCTTTCAAAGGTAGCACAGATTTTTATCTCTCACACACACACACACACACACACGTGCGCACCCACACACTCAGTCTCTCATGAACACATCCAAGTATTCCAAATGCTTCTTACAAAACTGTTTCTTTAATGCACTTCACTTTCATTTTGATAAAGTCAACAACTTTAGCAAACAATGTCTTTGCTTCAGTATAAAAAAACATAGAAACAGTGTCAACGGGATGTAGCTCCATCTTCCTTCATAAACCATGGTAACAGGTGAGGCCACAGGTACATATCATAAAAGAATGGCAAGTTCTGAGGTGATTGTGAAGACTCCATCTCATTGAAATCTGATGCTTAGAAATTGAGTTTTTCACATGATTCTTATAAACTCAGCTGTACACAATGGCATGGTTTTCTCTCATCTCCATCTGTTTAAGTCTCATGTTATTAGAAGCTCCTCGTATCCTCTGTGACCTGGTGGACCTCCCAGGTACTGAGTCCACATTCTGCTGAGCAGTCAATGTTTTCTGTGCTCTATTTCCTGTGAGTTCAGGCCTCTGGACAACAGGTGCAGGCGCTGACACCACAGACAGCCCCTGGGGTCCGGCATAGGGGGTTACTCTGGAGGTCCCTGGGAAGGAGAAGGCTGAGGGGAGCCCCATGGGTGGCTGTGGCTGGAGTGGGAGGCCCATTAGCATAGGTTCAGCACCTCCCTTAAAACTGGGGTTTATGGCTGAAAATAAACCAAGCAAATTAATGACATGCTACTGCTGCAGATGCAAACTGACTCATCTTTTCTATGGCTAAGACAGTGTTAATAACAAATCAGCATTAGTCTTGCATGCAAAAAGCCCCAGTTCAAAAATGTCTCAAAGTTGAGCAAGCTTTACTCTTTTGATACACTTTTTTTATCCCTAATTATTTTTATCACCTACTCAAATACTTACATACATATATTCATAATATATGAAGCATACATTTTCACTATTAACTAATCTAATCTATTTTGGTGCATTTTATCCTAGCTAAATCCATGCTAAGTGCCACATGTAGGAGTCCTTCATAAATCACAAACATCATAAGATTCTAGTTTGGGAATTGCTGTTTACATTGGCAAATTCCAGTGCCAAAGTATCACGTGATGCTTGTCAGCTTATAATGTCAGCTTATAATCACATACAAATATCCATACATTATAACTAGATTTTAGAAAATAAAAATAAAAAACATAAAGAAAAACAAAGAAATAAACATCACTATCACAAATATCACCCCAATTATAAAAGCTCACTGACAATATCCAACTTAAAGAAATGAATTGCTTGAATAAGGGGATCAAATCTCAATTCTCCATTGTGCATTGGGATGTTTTCATTTGTCAAGATAATACATTTCACAGAAAAGATTCCATTTAGCTGATAACATTTCTGGAACATCCATTTTTTCTCTGAACAAACTGCAAACACACAATGAGAAATTATTGAATTTCAGATTTCACTTTTGTTTTTTCTTGCTTCTTTTGAATTACTGGGTAAATAAAGGAAAAAACAAAAGAAAAGTCAACATAACACCTCATGCCACTCCCACAACATCTACCATGAAAACTGTGCTGTAAGGTGCACAAGGGATGGGGAGGGGTTCACATGCATTGTGTTCTGCTGTTTTACCGATTATCTCGAGCCTGTTGAAGTTTCATTATCTTCGTTAGCAGGACAAGGCCTAAGTATGATAAGAAGTTAGCAGCACTCTGACCGACATACCATATTCTTATAGTATCAAATGTGTCTTAAACATCACAAAATCACTTTTTACATCAGACTGAGCATTAATCTAGAGTTAATGACTTTCAACATAATGATAGCAAGTAAGGTTGTTATACTTCTCAATTTACAATATTTGATCATTAAACCTATAATATAGTATAATCCACCATTGCATTTTTTTTCATGCAAAATCTTTCATGATAGTTAAACAATTCACCATGTGCAACATGCAATTTAGTAAACACATAAGGAAAAGCAAGCAAAGTTCATAAACAAATCACTGGATTATCGTCCAAATATCATAATGAAAATATAAAACCCCAATATTTATCTGTCCTGGGATTCTGCATGTAATTATGTAATGCAGCTGGGGTTACGGTTAAGCACACACAAAATCCATTGTACAATCATGCAAGACATGCAAATTCATCTTCAAAAAAATCAACCTATTTACCTCTACGCAGTAAGTTCTAAGGCATCTTGCCAATATAAACATGCATCGTCATAAATTAAGTTTAGAGCAAGTTTCAAAAATGTCAAAGTCACAAATAGCTAAAATCTTTCACCCCAATCAATCATAGTCAAAGCCAAGCATTTATTTTCATAAAAGAAAAAACTCACTGTGAAGTTGTAGAAATATTAACTATTGTTCATGTTCAAAGTAATGAATACATGCATTTGAATATGAAAAATCACATGCAATCCAGAGATTATCTTGCCACAAGCAACAAGCTTATAAGATGAGGCCATGCCTATTGTATACTCTAAGAACTGTGACACCTGTATAATAATAATAATAATGAAGCTCTGCACCTGTGTTAGGTCAGCTTTGACCACCTTACCTCTTTCTCTGACCCTATAGGACTGGAGAAGCACTGCAGGACAAGGAGATACATGTCTAGTTATGTTGCAGTCACTGTATTGCACTGCATTCTAGGCAAGGCCCCAGACAAAAGTATATTTCTTCCTTTTCTATTGCCACACTTACAAACCTGAACTCATACTTTATAAACTTCTGGCAATTAATACATTATAATAGTGCTATTTTGCTATTTTTTTAACTGACCAAATGATATTGATTAGTGTGCCTACAGCTATTTCTTTTTTCTGTGGAAAACTGTCTTAAATCATCCTAACCAGACACCCCAACATTTCAGTATTACATATTCACATTCTAATAAGGCCCAATCAACCATATGTATTCTAAGGGACCATTTAAACATATTTTAAACTGCTGAAGTGACTTGAACTACATTTCGCAATATGTATGTCAAGCCCACAATCACAAAATTTAACAGTTAATTTTGCTAAAGAAATGAAAGTTGCAAGAAATTAATAAAATGAAACAAAAACCTCAAATGTGCTTACCCGCATCTTTCCTAGTACTGGCATGTGAGGAGTGTGTGGTGGCAGCACTGAGCGTCCTTCGCTGTGTCAGGTCACTGTAAGGCCCCCTCATCAGACCCCTGGGGTCAGTCTCTGGGGAGTACTTGTAGTCACTGTCTGAGTACACCCCCGAGGTGCTGTTACTGTAGGAGCTGCCATAACCAGAGCCTATGGGCTTCTTGTTCTGGATTTTGGCTCTCTGTGATAAATAAAGAAAAAAACTTATAACAAAGAGAAACAAAGAATGACATAAATTACTTGTAAGATTTATTAGCAGTGTTGTTCTAGGATAGTTTTTAATGGGTGGGATTTACCAAAGCAAACAATCTGTACATCTTTAAACATTTGTATCAGGAATAATCACCACATCTCAGTGAAAACTTCATAGAAAATACAGGACATCTGTCTAAATGCAGCATGGACAATAATCAACAAAGAGAAGTAGAAAACTAAGACAAGATAATAATCATCAATCTTTAAGTTAAAACATGCAGCAAGCAAGATGAAAAGGAACACTGAGCTGGTCTGTTCTCAGCAGTACCTGTAGGGGGACACCCCGAGTATCACTGAGCTGCCCCAGGCTGGTATTCCTCCCCCTGGGGATCTGCCACTGTGTTACACTCCCTGGCTGTGTGATGATGCCCTGCATGGGGTGCTGCAGTGGGCGCCCAGAGAACGTCTGTAAGGTACCGAAGGCAGGGGTGTATGGATTGTGGTTAAAGGCGGCAAGAGGGCTTTCTTGTAAGTGAGAGGCGCGGGTCACAAAATCATCATGCTGTTGGGATACAAAAGACAGGCATGTTTATTGTACTTCTATGGCGCTACGATATTACACTGAACAAACATGCTTCTTAATGATGTGAGTTGTTAACTGGACAATTAATAAGTTATGGCACATCAAATAACTGACAATTTGTGCAGAAAATGCAAGCCATTGTTACAGTGTATTACAATAAAATGTTATACCAACCTTTCAGAATAGTATAGTGACAGAAGTTATCCCTTAAACCCTACCCTCTTTAAGACATATTATTCATTTAACATTGTCCACCAATTGAAAAAAATAATACATAAAAACTGTATAGCTATCTACTTGGCAAGGTTTTCTGTTAATATTAGCGGCAGATCCACACTTTTCTACCTACATGTTAGGCCTACTGATGGTCTTTCTACCTAGATTGCAAATATGAGTTATTGTTTGCTTCTCTACATTAGTAATTACCCTTTTTTGTAACTAAAGTGTTTGTCAACTTTGTCTTATTAAAAAAATGTCTACATTGGATTGGAGTCCATGTCCATGTGTACATCTACAATGCATATAACCACTGCAAATGATCTCTTTGGACTTCTATGTCACAAGCTACATACACTGTATATATAACGTGAGCTGTATCTATGTCTACCTAGTGTAAGCATAATTTATATCTACCTTGTGAGTCTTTACCAGTATTCAGTATGTATTAATCCATGTCAGTCTGTCCTGTACTGTATGTACATGTAGCCTGTTTCTGATATCATGTCTGTCCACAAAGCAGCTAGGATATGAGTGACTGCTGTCCGTTCTCTTTCTGAGACATTTATACGTGAGAACCAAGCAACTACTTTTTCTGTTCAGAAAGAACATTCTAATCATGTGCCTGCACCTAAGACTAGTATTTGATTTTTAAACACAGCAGTGACTATCTAGAGTGCTTGTGCAATGATCTAATAGCTACAAAAAGCCCCTGGTCACTACTGACCTCCTGACTAACTGCTGCAATACTGGTTGCCACATAGCTTTCCTCTTTGTCATTCTCAATGTCATTTTCAGTTTGCTGCCCTGTGTTCTGGTCAGCATTCTGCTGCCCTGGTGGAGCAGGTACAGACACAGTGGCTGAAGACATGACAGAGGTCGTAGAGGAGCCCCCAGTTAATGTGTTCTCCAAGTCCTTTACTCTTAACGGCAGGTGTTTTGTGGGTTTAAACACCTCACTCCCAACAGGGGCTAGCTCTTTCACCTCATTTCCCAATGATGATGTCCCAAAGTTAATAGTCAATTTGTCAGCTTTAGAATCATCAAAGATGTACAACCGATTATCTAGGCCCCGCTGGCGATACCGAGATGCAGAGAGCACCTCCCGGTATGCACTGTATTTTTGTAAATTATTGATGCCCTGGAAATGAGCAAGAAAAGAGGCAAGACTAAGAAACCACACACTGCAACCAAATCAAGAAGATGATTTCACAGGGAGCCCAAGTAGAAAACAATGTTAAACACCCATGCTAAAAATTCCTTTATTTTGATATGCTGAAAAATCTTTTTTTTTTTTTTCATTTTTTTGTAATGGACAAAATCAAAACTTTAACTTTTTCTCATAGAAAAATAAATCATGAAGATTTATAAAACTTTGCTGAGTTCAAGTGAAAAAAAAAGATCAGAAAGATGTTTTTCACTAATCAAGTATTCAGTGCAAACAAATGATTTCAGCTCTCAATCTCAGGAGGCACTGATTAGCTTTGAAGAGAGTAATTCATCAAACATCCCTGTAAAACCTTCTTAAAATAAGACAGCCAATTAAACAGTGAAGTGATGAGAAATCAATAGAAATCAGGATTAACAGATCAATCAAGTATTAAGTGAGAACTCAATTGCAAACAAGGAACCATCACTTCAACCTTCAGGTTGATAACAATACTTCTCTTATCTTCATTATTCAAATCATGCAATTTAACAACCAAACTATTTTATTGATGTAAAATCAACATGAACATTCCAAAGAAGAGAATCCATTTAAAAAGCAGTGCATAAGCGCACTGCAAACTTCTTCATAAATGACTGTTCCAATATTTCCATAATTTATAGCCAAATTCACAAGAAATGTGTTTCCAGTTTCATTTGAAGAAGTTCACAGTATTAATTGATGATCTTCCAGGTGATCATCAGCTCAAGCAAAGCAGCAGCATGCAAAGAAGTCAATGTTTTCAAAGGATACCAAACCCATGCAAGGTACAATTACAACATAACATTAGGCAGCATGCACTGGGTTTATTATGGATCAATACAACTAAAACCTGGCAATATAAGTATGGTAGTAGTCTTCAATGCAAACTTACAAACTGCTGCCGAGGGTCGTTGCTCTTCATTACGCCCATGGTGCCTGGGGTACAGTGCAGTAGCCTGTACACGTGTTCTACTATCCCCAAGCCCCGCACCAGGTTGTCACGCTGGAGTAGACCACTGATCCGCTCCAGCTCTTCCTCCTCCAGAATGTCTAATGGTTTGGTGGTGTCTATCAGTTCACTTTCAATGTTAACATGCTCTGTGCCCTATGAGAGGAGGTAAACAGGGGAGTGCATGGTTAGTAAGTGTATTGAGAGAATGGACCACAGCCTTCAGACATATTTATATGCTTTTGTATACTGGTACATATCATTATGCAAATTTTGTCAAACTGTATGAATTTATCTGTTGGAAAATTTTTTGATGTTGAGCTGCAATTTTATCAACACACCAATTAAATACTGATACATTACTGTTTAATGAATTCCAACACTGTGGCAATATTTTACCTTTGCCACTGTATAAATGTATTAATATTCTATATGCTATCCTGGCCATTCAGTCAATATTTAAGGTAATATTTGGTATTGACCTTACAATGCCCAGGTAACCAGGCTTCAGTTAAATACCAAACTGCTAAAATGTACTGTTATGTAACATAATACAACATGCATCAAGGATGGATAAGCATATAATAACTACCAAGGTTGATTAAAATGTCTCTGTAGAAAGATATAAATTAGACCCTTTAGATTTAATCATGAAATATTGACAAACTGAATGTTATCACATCATACTACATATCTAGAGCACAGGCATGCTAGATCTATGAAAGGAAACTAGCCTACATCTGCTGACATTTGTTCAAGAAAGAGAAATATAGTATAATAATTATAACTGCCTAAATCTATGCCTCTAGATTAAACATACTTTATTTATGGTATATTGATTCAAAAACAGGGATAATCAGAGAATAAATGAAACCTTTTTCACTATTTCAATGTAATTTTTTTAAGTAATTTATTGAATCTGAGTATTACCTCAGCACCCTGCCTGGAGGAGGCCAACTGTCTCCTGGGAACACTGGGACGTTTTAATCTCCTTTTTCTACTCCCAGGACTCTCTGGACGAGCTGCCTTCTTGTTTTTGTTCAGCATCATCTCCATCTTTTCTTTCTTTCTTAAAATCTCCTCTCTCTGTTGCCTACGAAATCATATTTTAAAATTTTATAATCATCTTCTTTTTCTTGTAAGTTTAAAAATTCTATTATGTTATATACATGTATCAGTACCTTACAGCATGGTTTCAAGAATAACTGAATTGTTAAAATTTTAGATCTAAGATTCATATTTAGTTTAAAACTAGATTTGGCATGACTTGATTTTTTGTACTATTTATTTTAATTGCCCCTTAACCGCAAGCCATTCATATGCATAAGAAACATGTTCATAATTCAATTTCAATGCAGGATCTACATATATTCCCACTGATTTTACTACAAAGTAATGAACCAGGGAAAATTGAAAATCAAAACTTTTTGTCAAATTTTCCAGTATTTACTAAATCAAATTAAAGATTTCACAATTGCACCTTTCAGTCTACGCATCAAGTTTCCCAAAAGCTGCAATATTTACATACATACACTAAACTCACTTTCTTTTTTTGAATTTCCTGTAAAAGTAATAAAACTATGAATTCAGCACTGCTGCAAAAGTTTGTTTTCAATACAATCGTACCCCTGGGAAGTGTTTTTTCTATATGAATAGATCAATACATTAAACTACATTTTTTAAGACAAAAGCAACAACCAAACCTAAAGGCATTATTTCCCAGATGATATACATACCTTGCACATTCACTCCTGGCTTTGAAAGCTGCAGTTTCCTGGAAAAGAGACCCTGCACTGTGTTGGAAGTACTTGTCATACTTGTCAGTGCCATGTGCTGGGTAGATCCTACGAAAATTGCCCAGATGCTGGTCCTCGTACTTGGTCAGTGACTCCAGCCACTCTTGCTGAGCCTGCTCCAGCTCTTCTCTGTAACAGAAGTGATTTCATTATACTGTAATATTACAGCACCATGGACTATAGGAGTATGCATGTTTGTTAGGTGCCAACAAAGTAATTTTTCTCATCTTTTCTTAAGCATGTTTCTCAACTTCTATAAAAACAAATAAAATTCAACTTTGCTCTGACACATGAAGCCATAGGAATAATGCATCCAGCACTCCACAGGTGTTAAAGTGACAATATTTTTGGTCAGATCCATATGGGCAGGAAGGAAAGAAGGTCCCAGTCTATACTATTACAATTCCTATTTCTGCACATAAAACATCGGCAGACAAAAGGCATAACTTACTTAGACTCTTTCTTGTACCCCTGTCTCTGGAACAGCCTCTCTTTGATTCTCCTGCGCTCCTCTTCAATGCACTTGCGCTTGTCAACAGCACCACAGTTGATCAGGTTCAGACTGTCATAGATCAAGGCCTCCTTGATTTCCTTGTCTAGCTTTGCATCTGTGTGGAAGCTTGGAGAGTGGTTCACCTACAAATGCAATGAGAAACCCATCAGCATCAAAATCGCTATTAACAGTTAGTGTAGGTCAATATCAAGGGTTTGATACGCTTTGTGTGAAGTATCCCGAGATTTTCACAGGAATGAAAAGCAAACAGAACAACCCCACAGTGGCTTGCTTTTATCTGGGAAAACAAACCATTTCTCACCTGGCTTTATAATGACTGCTTTGATCTTCTTTGTAGGCAGTTTATCTGCTTCCTTTATAGATTTTAGAATATTACTCCAACAATTATGTCTACATTTCCATTACTTAAACTGCATAGAAAACGATACAATGTTAAGTAAATGTAAATCAAAACATAATTTTAAAATGACATTAAGAAGGTTATTCAAAGTGTAAATTTACCTCCAGAATATATGGCTTTAGTTTCCTGTCTAACAGCACATCCATGCCCAATATCTCAAAACAAGCACTCCCTTTTACATGATTAGGAAAGCAAGTCCTGTAATTATGCTTAAGTATGGGATGGGCAGATATCAGTGTTTTAATCAAGACGTCATCAATATCATTCCACATTTTTTCAACATTGTATCCATGATGTGTTAGCCACTTGTTCATTGTAATGATACGCCTGTAAATAAAATAAGGGTAAGAGTTCTATCAATAATGGATCAGCAAGATAATTTCATTATACATCAATTATTCATTTTTTTTTTTTTTTGATAAAAACCTCAACTCATATATATACTTCTTTGTAGCATGCAACAAAAGGTCTAAAATATTCACTAGGCAAATCTACAGATTTTATGCCACTGAAAGTAGTATATTTAGGGGATCACCTAAACCTATAAAGTATGCTTTACCTCTTACTTCCACCCTCTTCATCATCTCTGATGAAGTCTTCACTGTGCTTGTTGATGGCATAGTTAGTTAGATGCATATAAACATTGTCCTGAAATTAGAAATTAATTGATGACATAACAAAAAGTATTATCAGATCTGCCACAGTTTTTATAAGTTTAAAACTCATGATTATTGCACAAAATATATACAGTCAAGCATATAGCCCTCGTACAATGAACAAAACACGAATCAATGTTATCATAAATTGCTTTTATTTGGTATGTGAAATATGGGTACTTCAAAATGACAAATATCCTTTTTCCCTCTCTCTTTTCTTCTCTTTTTCACGATTCTCATTGTCTTATAAATACTTTAGACAAAAAAACCCACCAGGAAAGTATGTCTAATTGGTCAACACCCAAAAAATATTCATAACAGTACAGGGACCTCACAATGGACCCCCATTCACTGACATGATTGATTATTATCTATGTCATCAAACACACTGTTTACTGACAATTTAATTTCAATCACACAGTATCCTCCCCACCCCTGTTCCCATGTTAACACAAGGCTGTAGTCAATACAGTAAGCAAACATAATAGCCAGAGGTCTCAACTGATTGCTTCACTACCATGTCTTCTCCCAGTCTGGGGGGTAGACAATCATCATGTTTACGTGAAGGGCAATTTTCCAGTGAGTGAATCAAAAGATGCTTGTGAAAATTGATCCATTTTTACTGTGTACTCATGGCATAAAAAGATACAATATAAGGTTTGTTTGATTTTCAAACTCAAAATGTGCCTCTGAAATGCCAGTTTCTTCAGTGGAAGTATGCAAAGGGATATTCTATATTCAGGTACAACCCAAAATGATCTAAAGTGGTCATGGCTATGAAACTTAATTATGATTTTAAAGGTTGTCAATATAACAAATAACTGCGAAAAAAGGTATATACTGGTAAAATAGAAATGGCTAGAGAGTTCCAAAAAAATCATTCTGTTCCCCTCAAACCTCACATAAGTATCAAGAATGCTTGGTCAATGGTGTAAATTTTAAAAGTCACAAGTAGAGTGGTGATATTCTGTACTTAGTTCTAATCTCCATTCTTTCTTAATGTATAGTATTTCTTTAAGACAGGAGAGGTCTGCACCAATATTTTTGCCATTTTGTTACCTAGTGATATAATGAGGATTCAGGATGTGCACCATCAACAAACTTCACTCTGACCCACATCATAGCATTCACCTCAATTATATAACTATACAGGTGAAATGTCTCAATTTACACCTTAAACTAGTCAAATTCTTTTCAATTATCAAAAAGCTTTTCTATTTTGAACAGCATTACTCAACAAGACCAGCCAAGCAAAATCAATATGGCACTTATTCTGGCACAAGGTACATGTAAGCAGTTTTATGTTACAGAAATTTTCTTTGTCCTGAACTATTTTTAAAGTCTTTGTAAAGAAGATTTTTCCTTAAGGCAATGGAAATCAATGTCAAGCCTTAAGGCCAAAAATACAAAGCTTTTCAGTATAGGCACTTCAAACAACATGTAGTTGTTTAATTATATTGTTATATTTATTTCTGTTTACAAATTTTTTCACAATTTCCGAAAATTTCATCAGGGCCAATAAATGGAGGGAGCAATAAGGATACCCTGCACTGACCATTTATACTAGCCGTCTTGCATCCTTGATGATATGTTTGTTTTTTTTCTTTTTCTTTTTTTTTAACAGATAACTATTTCATTTATTTCCTGCATAATATTCTTCTTTGAACCACAATCAGTCATCTTACATGTAAGCATAAAGGGGTGTATATGGAACTGAAATAAAACAAGTCAAAGAATTATTACTTACCACATTATTTCCATGAGGTTCAGTGTACTTGGTTGTGGCAAACCTGGCAAGACCATCTTTAAAGACAAATATCCTAAATGGATCACAGGATGTGACAAGAGTGTACACACGAAGGTCAAACTTGAAGCCATCAATCAAGAAAGGCTGGAAAATAACAGAGATTATTATTATTTTTAATATAGTCCTAAAACTTTATAAATGTACATTAATTTCAAAAGCATGCTACCGATTTTCTGAAGGGTAAACAAAATACCCTTGCACATACAGATGAAGCAATTTTAATCTACATTAAATATAAACAAAATATCCATGAGCATAAGCATGAAACAATTTTAATCTCACCTGTGTCAACACTGTAATCAGATTTTAAACAAGACATCAGGTCATTAGGGATCAAAATGCTCCCACTTCATATTTGAACCAGATTTCATTCTACTGACATAAGAGAAAGTATGGGTTCATCTTTTGCTTACCCTTGAAATATATTGCTGACAAACCATATGTTCATTGGGTTTGATTTCCTTGGGGTTTTTGGTCACCCATATTCCCTTGCCTTGGCACCCACTCTCTGGCTTGAGAATATAAGTTTTGCTCTTCTTTTGCCTAGCAAAAGCTTGGAAGTCACCATAACTGAAAGATAATTAATGTTGTTACCTTCTTTTCCTTACATTCAAATGTTAGGATAGTGGCATACTTTTGATTTTCCTCATAGGACATGTTGGTAAGAAACACATCAGTCATTTTCAATCATTTAAAAAATTTTTTAATATATAAAGGGCCTATAGCATTATTAACATTATTATATTAGCCTATAGCACAATTACATTAATCAATAAGATACTGATTTATACTAGCTTTCTCCAGACACACAGCATCATCTTGGTCTAAAAAATTGATAATAATCAAAACATTCAAGTGTTAGGATAGTGGCAAACTGAAAAGAAAAAAAACTTACTCTGCAGGCAGGCACCATGATCTAGGGAAGATATTGTAGTCTTTTGGGAAGAGTTTCACCATTCTGTTCAAATTCCTGGATAGTAAATCTTTCCGACAGATTTCACTCATGCCCGGAAAATGATTGATTTTCTAAAACAAAAAAGAACGCAAATATTCTTAATGCACCATAAGGTCAAGGAACAAGCAATACAACTGACTACTTGAGACTGATCCAATTTCATTTCCTTTTGCTTGAAATAACATTACCATTAAATCAACTTTGTCTTTAGACCAGCATAAAATATTTGGTATAGTCAATGTCTTGCAAGTCTTGAAGATACAAGTACCAAGATACATAAATATTAGCCATTTTACCTGATACTTCTTCATTTCCATCACCCTCTCCAGGGCCACAGAGTAATCTGTCCAGTACAGATTCCATTCCTCATCCTCACTAACTTCTTTAAAGTTTAACCGCTTTGATACCCTTCGCACTGAGAGAAATAAATAACAGTTTCAAATTTGTCAGTGCACATTTGAATATTTTGAATTTTAAGTTATTTACTTATCAAAATAGTTACTAGTATTTCTTTTTTTTTTCACAAAGGACTAACAAGCTAGTGGCATTGCATATTTTACAGAAATGTGTATAATATATACACAAGTACATACCCACTTCATATTTGCAGTTAACTGTACAAATATATAGCCATCTGAAATAAAGGTAAAATTTAATTTTACAGTTTTATTATTTTACAATTTACTCCAATTAAATTATTATTGGTATAAAAGCTTCAGAGGAACAACAATTAATCAAGTTAATAAGCATACATGTACCAGTATATACATATATTTTAGGGGACAACCATACAAAAGATACTACAGGAAACACAACAGACAAAAATATCTAGATTAGCTCCTTTTTCTACATGCAAGCCAGGCTTAAGACTTTTCGCATTTACTTTTGTAAATTCACTCCAAAACTTCCAATTTTTTAATCTCAAAATTTGCACACATGTCACTACATTTTGATTAAAATGTCAATGTTTACATTAACCCAAATATTCAAATTTCAAAATCTCTGTAACAGGTTTTAAATATCAAAGTTGACAAAATATCAGTAGAGTAACAAAAAAAGAAAACAGGTGAAGTACTTAATTCACACTCTTTTGTATATCAATCATTGGTCTAGGTAACTGTAATTTGATATAAAGCATAACAACACCTTTTATATTCTCTCTTAACAGGCTGGATTTCAAACTTCCCGTGGATTCAATCAGGCACAAATACCTTTCATTCTTAATGTTTGTTCAGAAACAATGGTGGCTCAGCAGAGGTTTACACTTGGTCATTTTATTGGGCACACAGACACTGTTCACTCAGGTGTACCATAAAACCAATACTAGTAACTGACTGCTAGGAATACTGACAGCAAACAGCCAAAATCCTCCATAAATCTTTGAATTATAAACAAATCTTTACACAAATCTACTTCAGATAAGTTACTTCATGTTTGTATTTTTGAATTGTAAGCGCTTAGCACTTATATACAAATTCAAATACCAAATCAATTGAGCACCTTTTACACATAAGCATCACTGTTGCTATGAATTTAAAAACACCTTCGGCTATAATCATACAGTGTATTGGGTCTCAGGTCAAATTACTAACTACGAGCATGTTGTAAAATGAATTAGGCCCTTAGGCAGACGTTGAATTGACTGAGGTTCAGTTCAGCCCAGAACCCTAGGGCCAGTCTAAGCACAAAAATAAACCTGTGGAGATGACAAAAAAAAGTCTGGTCTGCCAAATCTAGCTTATAGATATGATCAAGAATGCATTACTGTACCATTCATTACATTTTGGTCATGATCTTCAGTAATATTTAACACTGTAAAGCGATCACTTCTATACATATTACACTTCAATGAAAATTACTTATTCTACACATTTAAAATATGAAATAAGTTACATAAAAAAGTCAGATATATTTTATCACATGCAGAAAAAATACACTCAAGAAAAATTGTTAAGACTTGTTAAGACCTCATACCAGTGAAAATATAAGTGCTAGTTGAATCTATTTGGTTTTTCAAGTGGCAGTGGAACAATATTTGCTCATAACTTTAAATACCCACTTGTTTTCATTTGGCTGTTTCATAACTTTCAGAACTATACAATTTAATATTGAACAATCTGTCAGAGGCCAAATAACACTTGCATGCTAAAACTTTCCTTATTATAAACAACTACATAATAGTCTCTACAAAATAATCCACTGGCATTGAGTCTGTAAGTGCTCAACTGTTCTCAACTGAAAACCCATTTTACTCACAAGGACATGTCAAATTAATGTCTGTTTTTTGTTATTCAATAAGTTTTTACACTCAACAACATAAATTGAAATGTTGTCAACTTGCTATATCTGACCTCAGAATGACTGCCAAGTGCAATAACTTCACACACATATATATTGCTTTTCTTTGACCACAAGAAGGTAACATAAATTTGGACAGCCTGTTTCAAAATCCTGCCTAATCCCCCATTTCTAGCATAAGCTGCAGAAAAGCTAAAAAACGTGGTTACTATTACTCACTTTTTTCTCTTTTTCTTTTTCTTCTTTTGTTGAGCTTCTTCTTTTTCCTGATTTGTCTTTATTATTGCATTTTGTTTCAGTGTAATGGACGGACTAGTGAGGGGGACATCATCTCCCTCAGCTTCCCCCTCACCTTCTTCTTCATAGACTACTGTTTCTAAAATAGATAAAAAACAATATGTAGCTCACACCTTTTTTCAGATTTTGTATTTAACTGTAAGCTTAGTTTGTTAATTACCTTTATTTCTGTAATTTGAAAATGCAAATTTGTGTTCTTTTTGTTGCTGTTATTTTTTACCAGTATCTACATATCTTTTATTTTTTCACATCTTTTACCAAATGATGGCAATTTCAAACAACAAGCCACCATTTTATATATCATAATTATTATCAACGGAAATCATGTCAGCACTTCCAAACAAGAAAATGTGGGTGGGTGGGTGAGGTGGAGTTAACATTTCAGCAATGGGTTGAAACTCTATATGCCATCATGTCATCTTAAAATTTCAGCAATACAATAATGTTGTGCAATAGACTATAATTTGATAGAACTTGAAAGAAAGTAACCTGAAAAGTTTCCTTGGCTTTCATTTATTTCTGCACTACAGTTGTATTATTGTTAGTCTGCCATTTTTTCTGGCCCCACTCTTTTCCAAATCCCACAAAATCTTTCTCTCATGATTTTCAACTAAGTCACAATATTTTGGGCTATCTCAGATGCTTCACATCGAACTAGTACTTTAATTCAAATTAAGGGTATGCAATGCTACAGTAGCACATCATGCAGTATCACCAGTTTTTAAGCAAATAAACCCTGTTTATGTATTGAGGCAAATGTTATCACCAGTTCTGTAAACTTAAAGATTAACTTGAGTTCTCTCTAAAGATTATCATGAGTTTTGTGCCAAAGGCCAGGCCAAAAGTAATTAATTCCAAGTTCTCTGTGCAATACAGTACTTAATTATAAAGAACAACATTTTGGAGAGATGGGAGCAAACTGCATGCTGATTTACAGCAGTTATAATCACAACGATAAATGCCATCATTTGATTGTAAATGGGCCACAAATATGTTAACACAAGAAAGATTTCATTTCAGTTTCAGGGGGGAGGGGGAGGCAAATGTATCTGCCTACCTCTCAAAGTAAATTTCTGCATTTTCAGTGTACTTTTATTTATATTTTATAATTTAGCAACTTGGTCAACATTCCTTACCTTCTTCACCTTCCCCTTCTCCCTCCTCAACTGGGGGAGGTAGTAAAAGAAGTCCTTCATCCTCATCATCAAATAATGTCAACTGTTTGGCACTAGTTTCATTTTCATTGATCGCAGGTGGAACTCCTGTACGCGGCGTGTCCTCATCACTTTCAGTATCGGAGCTGCTGCTACTACTGGATTCCACATCACTGTCATCTCGAACTTTCATTTTTTACTATTTTTTTAGCCAGCACTTAAAGTACCTAAAATATATATAATGTACCAGGTTAACAGAACAGAAAGTTATATGACAGTTTTCTAAGAGATATTTATCATCATTTTCATTCCCTGCATGAATGATTTTCCAAAATAACTCCTTTTTATCTGTTTTTGAGTAGATTTTATAGCCATGGTTCATATTTTTCCATGTTGGTAAAAAGTAGCTCTTCATCCCCTGTTCCATTACTAAAACAAATCGACATAACACACATGGCAATTACCAAATTTCAATAAGAAACCCTGAACAATGATTTTATATATAGTCACACCTTAAGTTCCATTATTTTTGCAAATATTGCTGTAACAGAAAAAAAACAATGGCAATTTTTAAAGAACTTTTTTTTTCAATTCACATATTTCTTTGCAAAATACCCCTACCTCTCTCATTTATGAGAACTTTGGAATGATCATGTGTATTTACATTAACCAAGAATAAGGAGGAAGGTCCAAAATTGAAAAAGTTGAAAATATGATGGATTTAATTCCAAGCCTCTTTAAAGATACCAAAACTATAACAGTTGGAGATAAACAGCCAAGTTACACTGCTACATAAAATATTCAAGCAAATGGTTTATAATAAATGAGGATTGCCATTCATTCTTTAAGTAGTCAAACTCATATTGACATGTGATACATGCATTTATGTTTGCACATGCTAATTAAATAACAATTTTACTTAAAAAAGAAGTCAGAGAGATTACCCTTACACTAAAAGAAAATCAAATTTTCAGTTTCTATCATGCTCAGATGTTGCCTCAATTGGTTAGTGAATCTCAAAATCACATATAAAGATTTAAGATTAAAATAAGTCTACAATAAGGAAACAAATACCAAAATCGGTTCAGCATTCTAAACAAAATAAATAGATCTAACAAAATTGTCTACGATAACCTGATATTGGGATGATTGGGCATACTCTGATTTTAGGGCAATGAAAACTTTCAGTGTTCCGATTCTTTAAAAAACAACAGTATACATTTGTTGTTGAAAACTAATCATGGCCCAGTAAATGGAAAACGTTGGCAATTCAAGTAACAAGACGATGTAGATTTTAGGGTAGTGAGGATTGTACTGACGTAAATTAAACATGCCTACCATGTTGTCAAAACACGTAGTTATGCGAATATGGTTACAATCCTTTCACGCTACTGGACACAGAGGTGCATTTTTAATGTAAAAAAATCGTTGCAGAAACTACATAACGATATGAATCCACTTACCTGCAAATTGTGTCAAACTACATAGCTTCCAACCCATCGCCATTACGATATTCCTTGCGATTTTAACTGTAGCCTCTTCACAATGTAAACCAAAACAACATGCTACCGCGCTAGGAAAAATAGGGCAAAATTTATGCCAGTATCCCGACTTTCAAATGTGTTTTGATATACCCATGGGATGAATAAAAATAAATATTGTATTAGAACCCAGCATAATCAATCCAATCACATATGTTTATCATTTTTGAAAAATTTACATTACACGGTGTATTAATTTCATAAATCAAAGCATGTGCTTCTATTGGTCATTGGTTGCTGAGGAAAATCTCCAAGAGGAGACCAATTTCGATCTAAAATTAGTTTGAGGGGTCGGTTTTGTCAGGTTTGTATTTAATTATCATTGTGCACCAAAATTCTGTTTCACTTAATTCTTTCTTTAAGCTTCCATCCGTTTTATCAATTTCCAAAACAATGAATTTAATTTTTGGGACGATTAAAAATGAAAGTCTTTTCTGAACACCAAGCCCATCGTCAAAAATGGGTTTAACATTGAAAGTTCTATTCGATATCTAACGTTATATGAAATTCAACTTGCAGTTCGAAATAAATCTCAATTTAATTTTAGAGGTTGCACGATCCAGAGTTCTGCATTTTCCAAAATTCTTGGGCTAAACTTAGACTGATAAAAACTAAAATAGTGAAAAATTAAAGTCGAAAATAGAATTTAAACCTTGTTTCCAGCACACATGAAAAAAACTTTTATTAAAATTGATGAGAGACAATGGCGGCAGCCCTCCGAAAGGCGAAAATCATTCCTGAATCACAAAGCACACAAGATCTATCCATTTAAAGCAAGTCCCACGAACGAACAACGGTGGAAATCTTTAACTCATGGGAATACACGCTGTTATATATCAATTGCGACTGAAAAAGGGCTCTTAATAGCCTAATAATAATAATAATAATAATAATAATAATAATAATAATAATAATTTATTCAAATAATACATACATAATATACACGGATAATACACCACAAATTTCTTTCTGTCGGAGTTCTTAAAATGTTGGTAATTGATGGTCATGAAGTGAGCAAAGAGCGGGGAGTGTTCTGTAGAGTTCATTGACATATTCTCATAATGTGCAATACTTAAAAAGCAGCATTTAACGTAAACGGGGAAAAGGCTTCTGGAGATTGAAAAGAGGTAGAAAGAGAAATGGTAGGAAGCAAGGTGACACGGAAACCAACCGAAAAGTAGTGAATAAATTATATTAAAGAAGTTCAAGATCTTGTGGTTTCTACCTCGCGTAACAATTATAATTTGAGGAGTGGCCCTTAATTTGTTACATGTAAGTTGCCAGCAATTAAGGTTATATAATGTGTAATAATTTTGTTAAGGTTTGTAGCACAGAATAAATACTTGAATCTTGAATCTTGTTTGTCTTTTTTTTATAGTAATCATATTGAATAATTTAATATTATTTACAAAAAAAAAAAAAAAAAAAAAAACAATCTGGGCCATATGTGGTCCATATCCATTTGATTTTGATCTGGCCCACATCTGGTCCACATCCGGCATGCTATACCTTTGCCAGATATTGCCAGATCTGGGCCTACATCTGGCCACATGAGCAAATGTGAAGTGGGCCAGATGTGGCAATGTTTGGGCCAGATCTGGCCCAACCATTGCCACATCTGGCCCACATGTGGCAAGCCATACCTGGGCCATACCTTTTGCCAGACGTTGCCAGAGCCTGCCAGATCTGGGCCAGACGTGGGCCAGATTACTGAGGCTGTCTGGGTATAAAGTCATGGTCAATACCATCGTTACAAAAGTGAAATATAAAATGATTTAAGTTTAAGAAGTGAAAATAAAACGATTGATTAATCAAAATACCCCACTGATAAATAATACAAGTCAACTAAAATAAGAGTTAAAACGACAAACAGCTGAAGAGTAAAAGCTCATAAAACCACTTACTGCCTTTTAAAGCCTCTTGTTGCTTATTAAAAAATTAAGCAAACCAAAAGCGGGGTGATAAAAGTAAGCTATTGTGTTCTCCTTCTCTTTTTCATTCTTTTAAATAAAATAGGAAGGTGAGTTTAAAAAAGTAAAAGTCTATTCCAAGAGTATTCCCTTAATTAACAGAACACGTATGATTTTCCTCTTATCATCACTGACGTTAGACCCTATGCGCACATCTCTTGTTGCGGTAAGAGTTTTTAACCGCATTATTTTAGGGAAAACCTTAGCAAACCATGTTATTCAACTTGACCGGTAGAGTTTTCTGAGTTGTTGTTAGAGTTTCTTTTCTTGCCATTCATGACATGTGTCAGTAAAAACACAATAATAAGGATGGTCACCAAAACAAACGGCACAATTACAGCAGTCGCCATCTGGTTACCTGCTATGGCGGCGACACCATCCGAGTGATTGTCATACCTTGAGTATTTTGTCCAATTTCCTAAAACTGATACATAATTATTGAAAAAATAATCGGTTTTGGTTTTCTGTAATTTGGTTTTCTATAACCCTTCATATAGCATACCGTAAAAGACCTAAAGAAATTAAGACTTGAACCTTTTTATCGGGTAATCAAAGTTTCATACCCTTACATTTTTAAAACATATGAACTCAGATGGATACAGGTTAAGATCGAGTAACTGAATGTTTTTTCTTATTATTCTAAATATGAGGATTACGCGTATCTAAGAACTTACCGTCGGTCGTCGTAGAAACGGGCGGATATGTCGGGATAACATTTTGATTGCAAAATTCGCTATCGCAACATACTGTTGAGTAACTCCATCTCGGTGAAATGTTGCAGTGGAACATGGCGGTGTGAAGATGGTTATGACAGCCTCTCTGAATACTGTCCGTCTCTGAATGGATGGTTGCAAAACACTTAAAAAAGGTAAAAACATATATTTTAGGAGTTGTCTAATTTTGCAATACGCAATAGGGGCTACACCTCAATTATTTATTCGACAGGTGCTGCAATGTTTCATTTGGTTATTGATAAAAAAAACATTGAGTTAAGTCTCAGCTGCATCTGGTTTTAATTTTATGGATATGTTTTTCTTTTCGTCAAACAATTAGAAATAAACAAAGACCAAGGTGCATGATGCGCTTTTCCTCTAAATAAAATATATGTTTGTGTGCGTGATGCCTGAAATAGAGTTTCCATCATCTGTTTGACAGAGAGGACACCAGCTATATCCTACCCAAAAATCACGTAGTTCACGTTAAGACAAAACGACTTGCTGTCATAACCCGTGTAGAGTTGCAAGGACAACATTAAATAACAAACAGCACATCTGTAAAAACAATAATAAAGCAAAATATCAAAGTTCACCAAACTTTCCAAAGTGCTACACACAATATGCAAGCGTGAAACAAATTAAAAATGCTGTCTGTCAGCTGAATTATTTCATAACATCATCGAACGATCATATCTCATCGTCAAACCTGTCTGCCAGCTGATTTATTTCATAACACCTGGTAAATTGATTATGGAATGCGACATTCGTATACATGTTTATAGTCACTGATTTCAACAATTGCTAATCTATATGTATATATATATATATTTATTTATCTATTTATTTGTCTGTTCTATGTTCTAGCCACTAGTATCGTATTGTAATTGATTATACCTTTATGTGAAGGTGTTTGTCAATAAAGAATCTGAATCTGAATCCATAACATCATCAAACGATCATATCTCATCGCCAAACCTATTGTATTAGCTTTGAAACGAGAAATCCATTAAAATGTTCAAAAATTGCCCAGATGACCTCACACGAACTCCCTTTGAATTTTTTCTCCCGTATTTCAAAATATTTCACTATTAATTAAAAAATTTAATCTTCTTAAACAAATCTTCCCTTCATAGTGTCCAATTTTGCTTTCGATGTCTCTGAGCCTCTATTTTTAAATAAACGCCATCAGATAACTGCAGTAAAACATTTTAGAAATATGCCTTTAATTCGTTTAGTTATAAAGCAGTCGAGTTGTGCCGTTTTAGGTTGGTAGGTAACATTTTCGTTCAGTTGGCGTTTCTCTGTAACAACATTGCAAAAATGTTTTATTCTATTTCTTAATAAATTTACATTATTTGGTTAGGTTAAATAAAGAATCAATATTCAGTTGATAAGAAAAAGATAGGAAGATACCTAATATTTTACCTATAATTGTTAAGAAGCAGTTAACTGCTATTGATTAATTTTGATTTAGAACAGAACACGAATACCACTTGACTACAATCAGATCTTCTATCATTAAATCCATTTTAAACAAGGCACCTTTCGCCTTACCTTGTAAGTTGTGTGGCAAAAATCTTTGAATTGTCCCTCCAAGTCTCTGTCACAGTAATGGACACGCGGATAACACGAACATTTAAAACCTGGCTGTGTTGTGCCATTCATGTCTCCGCCTTAATACTTGCTTAGAAAACTTTCCTTTTAATAATACCAGTTAGTAAAAATTGCTCGACCAACCGGAGCACATGCGACCTTGCTTTCCTCCACTATTTTTTAAATCAACTGTGCGCCAAGGACGCGAAAGTGCATTTATGTAAATGCAAACTACTACTACAGATCAGAAGTTTGTTTGATCACATGTTGAGCCAGGATTGACATTTAACAAACAAAACTCTATAAAAGCAAGAGGATATTCCTTAGTGCCTTTCCAGACACTATCAGAAAAAACCGTAGGTTGTAGTTTCACATGTAAAATGGATTGGAATATTTCTTCTCGTGGAGAAATGTCACTCCACTTCATTGTACACACTCCAAACATTCCAAGTTTATATTTGTCGACAACAAGGAACCCATCAACACAAGGTAGATTGCAAGATCAAAAAGTACTTGGTGAAATCAACGTTGGTAATTTCAAGAAATAAGAAGTTGTTAAAATCAGGTTTTAAAGAACTCTAATATGCAGTCGTAAAGCCATTTAAAGTCGATTTCTGTATAATATAGCCCGTTTTCACAGATTTAGTTTTGAAGTTTCACTTCACAATGCGCACCACGTTATTGGATTCAGGCACATCAAGATTTCACAGATTCAAATAATTTAGTGATGGCTTTTGAAACTTGGCCTTCAAAACATTCAATTTTCATTTAGAGTATGCAAAAATTTTGTGATATTTCAGTCCCTGCACATAAACATACTGTATACATTTTGAATAAAAAACATTACACCAAATGAATGAGAGTATTTTGAACTTGACTTTAGCCAAACCTAGGGAAAATGGAAATGGGAATATTCTTTTATGCTTATTCTAAGATAATGATTGATACTTGCAGAGTTACACTTGAGATGCAGCTAATGCAGCAGATATTCACATATAAGCCTTTTTGAAAGTGCTCTATCTGAGAATCACGCAATATCTGGCTTAACAAACTCTACAAGATTATATGAGGTAGTCAGATCATTAGTTACCATTTTTTTGACAAAACTGCAACTTCCCCTGTCATTTATTTAAAATATATAAAGATGATATCACATTCAGTTCTCTTTTTTACACCGATTTACAAAATTATCAAGTCATTAGCACATTCAGTAATACAAGTCTATCATAAACTTATTTACATTATTTTCTTTTTTAAAGGGGTAGAAAATATTTCTACTGCAAACATAATTTACAAAGGTACTCATTGCCAACAATTACGAAGGAGTAACTCTTCCAATGTATTTTAGCATTGGTAAACTGTTTTTTACTGCACACTTGTCATGTTTTCACATTCCTTTTATTAAGAATATTTCATTTAGAAGTTTCTTCAAAATATGACCATATCTCCTTGGTTGGCATTTCTTTGCAAACATCAACTGCCTGAAAAAAAAAAAGAATATTTTTTACAAGAAAGACACGTTTTATTTTTCAGACAAACATGTTTTTACATAACAAAAAAAAAAAAAAAAGGATTAAATCTTATGTTATAAACAGAACCAAACTTTTTTAGTTATATCACTTATATATTATTAAGAAACTACGTAACAGAAGTGGTTTATATGCATTATTGGGAATCCCTGCTCCGCCGCAAGTTTTATTCATCCATTAAAGGTGGTTTATCAATAAAAAAATAATATATTTTCAACATCCCAGAATAATTAGGTTGCCTTAAACAATATTGTCCAGTATTCTTAAATTAGCCATTACAATTAGTTCAAATCTCATCATCATTTAATTTTAAGGACTCGTTACGTGCAAGTAATTTTAATTATCACAAGAACTGCCTGCAGCCACACCTGATCCATCCCTTTTACTTTATTCTGCACAGCTTGTTGTGTGTTCAGAAGCTGATGTCTCTTTGATAACACTGCCTCTTTTAACCTAGCACTTTCTTCCTCCAAATCCTCCAATATGGACTGTAATGTTTCTTTATGTACTTGTTTCACTTGTATTAAGTGGGACTGAATATCAGCTTCAGGGTTGCCTGTTGGACGCCTGTGAAGTAACATAAAAATTACTAGACTGAGGTATTAACACGCATAATTAATGGAAGTGTCAGTGTGAATTTAAGACAGCAGTTGCCAGCTATTAGTAATAAACTAAGCACTAATTTCTTTGTTTTGGTAATTAATATAATTTACCAATAAGAGAAAAAACACAAAAATTAACCTTACCAAGCTGGATGTTGTAGATCCAAAGGTGCTTCACTGATTAATTTGTCAAGTTCATTCATTAGTCCTACAATATTCTCCTCTTCAAACAGTGTATCTATTTCTTCCTGAAAAAAGAAAGGGAAAATGTGTCAAAGGTATTTCTTCAAATATTTCTCATCGTGACAAGTTGACAAAACGGATAAACTAGTGTAATGCATCGATTTCTCTCCTTTTTTTTCAATATAAAAATTTACACATTCTATGCCCAAATATTCTTAGAATAATCCATATTTCCTGACTGATCAAGAATGACAAATTTGCACATAGTCATATTCAGCTAGCAAATTAACTATCCCTTATTTTTTATTCTATTTATCTTCTTCAAGCTATTAACTATCCCTTATAACCCAATAAAAAATCAAAATATATCACAATAAGCATTTTTTAACAATAGCAAACTGACAATTTGGCAATTATTACCATTTTAATATATCAGCATGATATAACTTACTGTTATAGCCGATTCCAGCTGATGCATAAACTGTGTGTGGATATTTTTCAAAGCTTTTGGATTTTTGTCATACACTGCTTTGAAGTTTCTAGCAAATGCAGAAAACCTGTAAAAATTAAATAAACCATGTATTATCATTACTTTTTTCTTATATGAAGTAAATCCCAGTCACTAACTACATGTACACTGCCTGTAATAAAAATAGCCCTGGTGTCTGTTTACAACATGACATGCAAAAACAGGTTTGTCTTCCAAAATACAAGTTAGTCTGTTGATTACCAAGAATGAAACAAAACAAAGTTTTAATTGTATCTTATTCACATAGAAGTTACTGGCAAGACTGGCTGGATTTTCAGGATTGTGCAACTTCAGGAGGTGGAGGTCAGGGAAAGATGTGAGAGCTCCCTAGCTACATGCAAGTAAGTGACTTACTTGAAGTCATTATCATTTCTTCATTAGGCATTTATGTTCACTACTATTTTTATGTGTTATTAGTTATACCACATAGTACATTTATCAGAAACTGTAGGGAGTGCCAATGCATAGAACTTCATGCTACCCCTCTACCCAATGGTACTACTGGGTAGGGGGTGTACTGCTGCATAGCTTGAAACTTTACAAGCGTTATCAAACTGCTGCTTGAATCGATCCAAAAAGACTTTGAATGATATATTATCAGATGCAACGGAAGACAAACAGTGTCTCAGGATGTGGATATTTCGTCGAGATTTCGTAACACACAATGTTATAAGCCATAACCACGGTAAGTACCCAGCATGTAAGTTGTATCTGTAACTGGGCCAAAAACTGAGGTAACACTAACAACTTCAAATACCTGCCGCTGGACAGACATTTTTGCACAGTTTTCTCCAACGCTTGGCGTAAAAGAGTTGCGTGTCGACCTTCTGCCACATCAGTTGATTTGTTTTCTATATTATCGACGGCTGCAGGAATCCTAAGGCCACTTGAGTCAGCAGTTGAGCCCGAATTATCTGTGGTGCTTCCCTCCATCTCTTGAATGTGCCGCAAAATATGAAATTGCCTGAAGAGGCCGCTATACCAAGAAAAGCTTTTTTTCAAAAATTTGAGGAAAGAGTGAAACATTAGGTGAAAGACATTCCAAGTGATCATTCTTAATTTCACACAACGACTTTATTTTCTTAGTTTTAACACCATTTTTCGAACTGAGTCAACAATGGATAGATTTTTTTTCGAGGCTTTTCAGTACAACTGTGGACATCTATCGGCAGACATACATACAGCCGGCAAGAATGGCTTCATATACAGAAGAAATGCAAAAATATTTCCAAAATAATAACAGAGTAAAAGAAAACCAGGCACATTCCGCAAAGGTACATTCAGTGGATTGGAGTTGTGATGGCAGAAAATTGGCATCTGGATCCTTCGACAAGACAGTTAGCCTCTTCAGTTTGGATAGAGATCGTTTGGTTAGTACAGTACAACATGCATACACTCCCGGCTGTCACCTGCCTTGATTATGTGTTTGATTAATAAACCGAAAAGCCACAGAAAACGACTTTAGAATGCTATATTACAAGTCAAAATCATTAATTTTTTTTTTTTTTTTTTGCTAGAATAGCCATATATACAACATAAACACTGTGCATTTACAGACTGAGTTAGGTATATCAGAAAAATTTTCAAACTGATCAGAAAATTAAAATACTTATATCATCTGAAAGGTAATGCAAAAACCGGATGAAATCATTTGGAATTTTTTAAATATTCCTACAAGCAACAAAGATATTGAAGTTTTTTAACTGCAAAAATCCACCAAAAGTGTCCACACTTCTCAGCTCAAAACCTGTGCCCACTGACCAGCAGTGATCACTCAGGCGCAGCAGAGCACCCTGTGTGTCTTTGTGTGCTCAGCCTATTGTCTGGCTCACATAGCCTGTGACTAATCAGGGCAGAGCTATTTCCCTGTGGTAATTTTCACATCATGTAATATTGCGGATTAAATTAACTATACTTCGCAACCTTCAAATTTCATGATTTTTCTACATAATATAGCAAATTTCATAAACTTTGCTGGATATAAATTTCAAAAAGATGATACCAGCACTTACCTGAAATTTTTTAGCATTTTGTAGAGGCAAAACTTAAAACAAGCAGAACCGAAACTTGTCAAAGACTGCAACGTGGGAAAATCATGTGACCGGATTTTACTCTTTGATTTACAACTTATTTAGTTAATGGCTTGTATTAGTTTTTTTACGCAGCGCTAAAAGAGAGATTTAAAAAAGGGGTTCCATAGGCGAACTGTCAGCAGGCCGACTTCAGTTTAACACTTCACTGCCAGTGGACAGTTACGACTGTAGCGCCCCTAGCGGATTGTGATCTACCTAACTGAGTGAAGCTTCTGAAACAAAAACTAGGGAAAACTTTTAATAAGTGATAGAAGTTCAAATTAAATAGAAACTGGATCCCCCTCAGACCAAATAGTACTCCTACTTTTAATTACCTGGGGCTACATCCTCCTAATTGTTGTTTGCAAATTAATGGATGAAAATCCCAGAACCATGTCAAATGCGAAGAGTTTAAAAATACCCATTTGACCAAATTCAAGTTAAAGAACTTCACTCTTAAGGTTCATGGTGCTTAGCCATTTTGATCATAGAACACTTACTAAATATAAATAGAAACAAAATAAACAATAATAACTAATATGTCAGTGTCAAAGATAAAAGGTATGTGAAATTTTGCTATAATCCTATTAATTTATTAATTGAAAAATAATGTTTTGATTTGACAAATAGCATGGTGTGTTTTTTACATAGTCCAAAGAACATACATTCCGTGGGCATGGAGATAGTGTAGATCAGTTATGTTGGCACCCCACACACCCAGAACTTCTGGTTACAGCTAGTGGGGATAAAACAGTGCGGCTTTGGGATGCCAGGACATCAAAAACAGTGGCTACAGTTAATACAAAAGGTACTGTTTCAGTGCTCTTAAATTGGTTGCATTTAATTTTCAAGTCACCTTTTTTCTTGTAGAATAAAGCACAGATCATGATGTTAAAATTTATATCTATACATTTTACATTTTGAATCTGATATCAATAACAACTTTTGCAACAGGATTTTTCAGTAGTAGACATACGTAGGTTTGTTGGCTTTGTTTACTATTTTATGTTCTGTGTTTTGCATTTCACTAAAAATTCAAAGAATGACTAATGCACTATTTCTTGACATATTTAAGGTGAAAATATCAACATATGCTGGTCCCCAAATGGAAACACAATAGCTGTTGGAAACAAAGAAGATTTGGTCACATTTATTGATGCAAAAACACATCGATCAAAAGCAGAGGAACAATTCAAATATGAAGTTAATGAAATCTCATGGAACAATGAAGGAGACTTGTTCTTTCTCACAAGTGGACAAGGCTGTATACATATATTAAGGTACTATTTGGGACTGCTGCAATAGGATGTGAATACTGGTTACTGAAAACACATTTTGTAAGATGATAAAGATAGTTTTACAGAGAATTGTACAAAACTGAATTATCCTATTTATTGATAAGCTATAGAGTAAGCAATCTAGATATCATAAGTCCTTATAAATCTTGATTTATTCAAAAATTTTGCTTTTTAACTTTTTATCTTAATTAAGTAATGCAATTAATACCACTTATTAAAAACTTCTAATGCATCTTATGCTCACTGAAGGATACACCTGGAAAATTTAATTGTATTTTTCCCATCAAAATCACACCGAATGCCTTTTAATTGTTGCAGGTCAAATTTACATAATATCTGTTCCACAGCAAATGAAGGAAAAAGGTTTTTCATGACAGATGCTCCCCATTGATTTAGAACATCATATAAAGTTAATGCTACAACAACAAATAAACCATGTCTTAACATTTCAGTTATCCTGATCTCCAGCATCAATATGTTCTCAATGCTCATCCTGCCAACTGTATTTGTATAGAGTTTGATCCCACTGGGAAGTACTTTGCCACAGGCAGTGCTGATGCTTTGGTCACACTGTGGGACCTGGAGGACCTGGTTTGTGTCAGGACATTTTCTAGGTAAACACTGCTGTTTAAATTAAATATAGATGTCACAGTTACAGCATCTATCCATCTATGGGGATATTGCAGTTATCAGTTATGTTTAAACTAAAAAAAAAAAAAACACTCAGGAGTTGACATCCACAAAGGACTGTTCACTGATAAATTGTGGTTGTTGAGAGTACGTTCATTGCACAACAGGTCAATATTATTGGCCACATCTCACAATGGTGGAGAATCCTTTTAAAATTCTTGGATCCACACGATGATCTGGACCACCAAAATTAATAACTTTTAGGTCAGTCTGACCTGTCCTGAAATATTAGTGAAAATCCATCTTTAACTTTTACAAAATGGAGGTGAATACATCACCTCTTTGGCAGAGATAATGAGCCAAAATTTAGTCATAACTAGGCTTTTGCTCAAACATTATTTTTTGGCAGTGATTAAAACATTTTGACTGAAGGTAAAAAGATTGGTCAAGGATTCGTGTACTTACGTATGTAAAGGCAGATTTATCAAGTCTTTTTTTTTTTGCTACAGATGCTCCCAATTTTTTTCATAACTGTGTCAGATTACTTTATTGACATTCTAGGTTAGAGTGGCCCATAAGGACAATGAGTTTTAGCCATGATGGAAAGATATTAGCATCAGCATCAGAAGATCTTGTGATAGACATTGGGAATGTAGAAACTGGTAAGAAATATAAGAAAAAAGAAGCCATGTGTAACTTTGATTTAGGTATCTTTTTTAGTCATAATTTACATATGTCATTTAATAAGATATCAAACTGCAGCTGCAGCTTTGAACATTCAATTATGTAATATTATTAAAATATATTATTAGATTAAATTATTAAAATATATTCAACACACAAATATATTTTCAGGTGAAAAGATAACAGAAGTCCCATGTGAGTACCCCACATTCACAATAGCATGGCATCCAAAACGACACCTGCTGGCATTTGCTTGTGATGATAAGGAAAAATACAATGACAGAGATGCTGGAACAGTGAAATTATTTGGCTTGCCAAGTGACAGGAGTGACTGAGGAAGGATAGCCTTACACTGGCATTTAATGGAAGCATGAATTCCATTGCAATTTACATGCTCTAGCACATAGTATTTCATGGCAGTAATGTCAAGTCTATAAGCTTGGTGTCAGCCATGCAGTGACTGCCATACTTGAAAAAACAAACAATCACGTCAAAATGAAGAAATTATAAATAGAAACAGCATGACAGTATGTTTATATAACAAATATAAGTGGTTATATTTCTGTACTTTTATTCTTTTTAAAATAAATTGGATACACATTAAATGATATTTAACTTTCTCATATCAACCGATTGAGATTAGTATTTTTGTGTGTGTGTGTGTGGTTTAAGAAATATGAATACATAGTTTATTAGATTATGTTTAAGTGAATCCATTTAATTACAACACAAACAATTGGAATGTGACACATAGATATACTCTGCACAGCTAAATTGGTCTTACAGTTCGAGAAAACAGTTGAATCAGTTGTCTACATTTATAGAGACTGAAATACAGCATTGCTAAAGAACACCATGCAGTTAAGTATATTTTGGTATGAAAAATTATAAAAATTATTTAAAAAAAAAAGAACCCTTCTTGACATAAATGGTCTTGAAATGTTGGGCATCTAGATGCCAAAAAAAGTAAAAACGCATGTTGCCATCGTGATCACAGCCACATCATACCCAGCATCAACTGCCCAGCGTTCCAGGGAATGCCCAAGGAAGATGTGGTGAGGGACTGGGAGTGCTGCTGTCAGGAGGGCAAGGCAAAGGAACTTGCTTAACAAGGGGGCTTGCATATGGCTGCCATTAAAGAAAGAAGAATTCATAAAAATGAATGTTATTAAATTGAATTTTTAACTATGTTTCAGTCATCAGAGGTACTCTTGATTTTTAACTCGAGGTTTAGAAACTAACGGGGGATGACATAGTTCCAATAGAAAAGCACTAGACTGTTGGCCATTCTTTGCAAAATTCTCTAAGCCACTAAAGCTGTACTATTTTTAGCCTGTAAACAGTTATGTGGTCTACTGTGCTATAAAGTCAAGTACTCTGCAATGTTATCTTTCTTTTCATTTGAGTGAGTTGATATTGCATCTATCCATAGCCCAGCATCTAAAATTAGAACAGATCATGACTCAACACAAATTTTCTTAATATGTTTTAATATTCACTTGATATGTTCACAGAGCAGTTAGACATTAGAATTTCACTTCCTTGTCTTCAACCACTCCTTCAATAAAAATTTACAAAAGGGCAAATTTATCACCTTTCTGACCACTTTCTTCAATATGAAGAAAATATGTGTAAATCTCTCTTTTTCAATCAAATCATATCAAGTTTGTTTAATAAAATACAACTGCTTTTCATACATGTTCAAATCATTATGGATTTTGTGATAGACTAGCATTGTACAACTTTAATATGCTCTGGAATATTAGGAATTCAAAGAAAAGTATGTATCTAAAATATACAGTGGTCAAATTCCATATCACAATAGTAGTCAACTGTATCTGCCAAAAGTTTCTCCTGTAAGGTGAACAGAATATTTAGGTGTAAAAGCTATTCTATGCACTAAGCTACAGCAGCATTTTAACTTGAAAAGATCAAGTCAACATGATTTGTTTACTCATTTGCTAACAACATCAAAAATTATTTCATAATTAACCCCATACTTTTCAAAATATACAATTATGATAAAAATATTAACTCTTAAATGAGGTAAACATACAACCAAAAGCAAAGACATGATTCCCCTTTTAAAACAAACTGTTTGCCCAACACGAGTGATTTCCAGCTAGACAATTACATTTGAACCTTACAGTCTGGAAGTCTAGAAATATTATGCATGACAATTTCTGGAATTGTCAGTACTTGTTCTTAAGATCTCCTGGCCAAGGTGATCAACAGAAAAATAACAGTACTTATAACACTGAATTTACATTTAAATTCAACTGGAAGTATTTTGAGAGCATTTTGAAGTACATAAAAATATATCCATTAATGTTTAATACAACCTTATGAGATATTCCTTAAACAAACAGACATATGGACAGACAAACTATTATATGGAACAAACCAAAAAAAAAAAAAAAAACATGATATGCAAAAACTTAATTACAGCATCATAGCAATAAATAATGTTTTAAAAATTTACTGTTCTTATTTCATCGAGTAATCTACTGCAAAAACGTGAATATGAAAAAAAAAAACACTAAGCACTACAGAAGCCAGTCAGGCAAAATGTGAATACTCAATATGCTAAGCATTAGTCCCATGGAAAATATTGTTACTGCACAGTAGCCCACATTTATAAAAAACAATGTGAAAGAGAGTTCTTGAAATAAATACTGTGGTATTTGCACTGCACATATTAGTGTAGAAATGAGAGCAGAGATCTTCATTGCACCACCTAATGTTGATACGGCCATTACCTCCCTAATTAAAAAAAAAGAAGCGACACTTCTAATAATCATGTAAACTTCAAGTTCAATGTTTGATAAACATTTTATTTTCATACTTTGATTTGCAACTTTGGTTGCATTAAACATTAAAATTTGAATAAATTGATTAATTAGTTGCTCTATCTGAATGACAACTCCAGTCCTTATTGGACTTGTGCAGATTTAAAAAAAAATCTATTATCTTTGCTTGTTTCTTTAAAAGGTATGGGTAACAAGAAAAGGAGAGCGTTTTCTAGCTTGCATTAAATACTGAGAGTTCAGAACATGTCCAACTTAAATTCATGGCAAGAATTTATCAAGTTGTCTTGTGATGTGAGACTATTTCTTTAGCCAACTCTGAACTCATCTTAAGACCAATATACATTTGGTCTATAGGTTCCTAGACTGCAAAGAGCAAGACTTTTTCTAATTTAAGCTGGACCAATTCTGAACACATCTGAAGACCAATATAAATTTGGCCTATAAGCTCCTAAACTGCAAACATCTTAATATAGGGCTCTTACCCAAGTATATAGCACATCACTATGGCAATCACAGCATGTGCTATTGCTGCTATGATATAAGTCCTGCTGGATGCATTCTTGCCAATGTCTTCATATGATTTGCCAGGGAATGCATGCCTTGCCCAAACTCTGCCAAACAGCCACTGGGAATACCTGTAATTTAAGTAAAATTACCACTATAGTTTATTTGTGCATCAAGATATTATTGTGAATAAATATTTCAACATTACATGATGCTATTTCTTATGAACTATTTTTCTTGTGCATCACCTGCAGCAGCATTTATTCTGTGGTTATACTGGTATTACTCCATCCTTTGCAAAAATTAACTACTTTTCATTTGCTAAAAATTCATTCAACAAAGGATGAACATTTGAGGGCAAATATACTAGTAAAGTGTATATGTCAAATGGACCTTAAAAAATCACCCAGATTTAACATAATCAACAGCTTTTTTCCAGCACTACTTCCTAACAGATATCATGAGCTAAATTCCACCATAGAAGTATGATTCCACATATAACAATTTTGAATTTTTCAGACAAAAATGATTCCTAGGTATGAAATCCAATTACTACATATAAATGTATATATGCATGGTTACCATAGTACACCCAGTAACTGTGACAGGACAAAGGAAATCAGAACAGGAAGAATGGCTATCATCTGGATGTCTCCAAAGTCTTAAGCAACTGTCCTAAAAATAAAGTACCGTATTTCAAAATGCATGTCTCTTGCTCCTGAAGGTATCAAACCAACCATAACATTTCAATATTAAAACAAAGCTGCTCTTGCAGATGTCAAATAATTCTGGCCTCAGTAAATAAGTAATTAAAATTAGTGATGAAATAACACAAGTATCATAAAATGACAACATTCATAATATTGTATGAGCTGCTAAAATATTAACACGTGAATACAGGGTAGTACATCTAGGGCTGTAGATCTACAGGTGTACAGGTACAGTAAGTCAAAAAGTAACGCTCTCGATCTGCACTCATCTTGCTCACCGTCCTTTCTTTGGACTAGGTAAGATAAAATTGCGTGCACTGGTTGACTTCAACAGCAAAACCGTGGAACCTTGACAACGTCAAAATCACACAAAGATCGAGAGGCTTATATACCGCTAAAATGGAGCAGATGATGTGCTTTTTTTCATCCCAACCCTCTTCCCCGTGTTTGCCTAGGCCAAGGTCATTGTAAGATGGACTCGCCTTAAAGTGCTTTGCAGGATTTTTTATGTTACTGGATATGAAATCCATTCAGTGCATATGACATACCAACCAATTAGATCTATATCTTAAATACCTGTAAAGGTTCTTATATCTCTAGCAGCACGAAGAAAATGTGTGGACCAGTTATCACAATACGAACACAACGTAGTCTAGTCGTAATTTATCTAATAATAAACCGCTCCAACTTTGACCTCACAACAAACATGGCTGCGCCCACGCGGGAAGGCACTGCTAATGATGTGTTAGACGTACGGCAGTTTCTTGAAGGATGGGCGGGTCTTGTAGGTAATTCACAACTGCAGAAACACGAAGATGATGACCAAGAAGCAAAAATAGCCAATGATATGTCTATTTCTCGGGAAATGGTTGAAGAGTTGGCTTCAGTTTGTAGGTCCGTCTTTAGCTCAGTCTAACCATAGTTCTAAATAGAGAGGTGAAGTCTTGTTTTCTTTAGCCCGGGCCTCTAAACAATGAGAAGTTTGCCCCTCCCCTCCCCCCCCCCTCCCCCGCATGCACACACACACACTGTACATTTTCTTCATTCCTTTTTCTTCTAACATTTGCGTTTGAATGTAATTCTGCCACAATTGAGATTTAGTGCAATTGCTGACGGAGAGTTTCTGGTGTTCTGGTAGCACTAGTGCTATGTCTTCATTCTGATATCACCTACGTGTTCACATTAAAAATAGATAAGCTACATTTGTTTTAGCTTTCTGCCAGAGGACATGCAAACTGCCAAAAATGACTCCTCTGCCTTTTGGCAGACTGTTCCACTAGATACATTATGTACCAGTCTTTGCATACCTCTGGTTGAAGAAAAAGCTATGCAGCGTCAGGTATGCTGTATCCTGAAAGCAAAGAATTGGCATCAAATGTCATTCTGTTGAAGTCCCTTAAGGTGCTGTAATGATGGTTCATTATCAACTTGTCCTTAATTCTCTCTGTGAGATTCCAGAAAGAAATAGTATCAGTTTGTCTACAAGCCCAAAGCTTTTGTTCTTGACACTCATTCTGTGGTTTTCCAAGAAGAGTCCTTTTAGATATCCTTGGATAAATTCTATCAGTTTTTATTAGTTTACCACTTGCTAGTGTGCCATTATTTCTTATCCCACTCTTCTACAAATCCCACAAAACCCCCATATGATTTAATGCTATGTCATAAGAATTTGCACTCTTTATTTCTGTTTCCCATACAACTGCAGACTCAAAGTGAACTGCAAATTACAGTACATTGACTTTTTTATTTGCAGTACTGACACATTGCTTTGTGGATCAGAGCCAGAAGAAGGGAATCTGACAGCTTTTCCAGAAGTTAACCTTTTGACAGTGAGGTGTGTTCATGTCTGTGTATTTTATTGTCTTCTCATATCTAGGTAGATTTAATGCTAAAGTTGGCAATAACAAACTTGAAAGACTGTAGTCTTTAATGGTATTTTACACTTTTTCTCTCAATAAACTGGCTGCAGCAATGGGATTTGGTATTTTCTTTGATGTCATCTTTGTTGGCACTATAATAAGAAACCTTTTCAAATAATATTGGACTGGTTAGTTAATTCCACTTAGTTCTTTGAATTAATACATCTATACCTTTATTTCAGATGCCAGGAAGAAAGTGTACAAAAAAGAGAGAATGATAATATATTTAGAACAAAAGTGTCCAGAAAGATGAGATATAAATATGTACAAACATTAGCGGTAATAGTGATTATAGTATATGATGTTGTGGATATGAAGAATATGAAAGATTTATTATGTAACATTGAAATTTAGTTTAAATGAGCAAATAATGATAAGGCAAAGTTAAGGAGCTTTCAAAATGTAGCTTCTCCCTCTCATGCTAATAAAGGAATATAAGCATAATTGTAATTTGCTACATTAGCGATAAACATATAGGTCACTTCAAAAAGAGTCCCTGTCATATTTTTCTTCTTGTTTTACAGCCCCCATGTCAGAGTGAAGGCAGTATTGAATGCCCAATAAAAATACCAGAGGTACTACTGAATGTTAAAATATTCAGACCATTATATAGTAAGAAGAAACAGGTTAGTAGGGGAAAAGAAACTTTAAATTGAATGTGGTTAGTAAATTTGTAAAATGTGGTTTATTTGAAATATGTGGTATGTGTAGTTGCTATTACTAGTATTTGTGCCACCATTACAATATATATTTCACATTTAACATGTACTGTGGTCCACTTGGCTCTCTTTATTCATTCATGTGTGATAAACACACCAGGAGTAAAAAAAGTGCTTGGAGTATTTTTTGCAATAGAAAAACTAGCACTATAATGCTTCTTTTTATCTTCCACAGACCTTCCTTGATCAGGAGTTCCAAGTCATAGGTAGTAATACACTAACAGATCTCCGTGACAAATACAGTTGTGTGGCAGATTTCTCTGTGCCTGGAGAGTTCAGTGAAGATCCAGACATGCCTCAGGACAACAGGGCAAAGGTGAAATAAAGCTCTGGAATAATCTTCATGATTTTACATTGATTTGCTTGAAAACTGTAGAAAAATACACAGTTCACCATCATTTAAAATTCTTTGTCAGACTAATTGTACTGGGATGTACAGTACAGATGCACATATTACTTTTGTACTACAGTTATGTCCCCATTCCAGCTTAACTTTTTGTTTGTTTGGTCATTCCTAATCCTCATCTGTTGATTCCAGTTGGATCTAGATATATCTTCATACATTTAGATAAATCCAGATAAAAAAAGTTTAGGTGTGTTATATTACTTTAGAGGTAATTTTCTGGCCAGTTTTGAACATTATGATGTTCTTGAAACTTGAAAAGAACATTATAATTGAACATCCATGGAAATACATTCTAGGTGATATGTGTTGCCAGATCTTGTATTGTTGTTGTTGTTGTTGTTGTTGTTATGAATGTTATCATTAGTTATTTATCTTTTTAGGACTTATTCAAATCAGGGTTCTTTTTCATTGAAGGCACTTTCTATAATGACATGCGTTATGATGATTGCAGAGATTATAGCAAGTAAGCACTGTGAGAATTATTTTTCAGAAAATATGTTGTAGCATTTCTCAAGATATTTAAAGACGTAAAAGTTCCTCAAAAACTCACATATTATTATGATTTTTTTTAGTTGAAATTGATCTGTTGTAATTGAAAGTGCTTTTCAACTATTTGTTTTCTTTAAACATAAGTCTAACATTCTTGATTGATAAGGGTCATTATTGACTGGGCCAAGGAAAAGGAAAGAGGACTGGGACCCTACACAAGTGCCAAAATGGAAACTACCAGATTTGTGGACCTGAAACTCCGACTGGGTCAGCCCTATGTTTACCTCCATCAGGGGGAATGTGAGCACCTTGTTGTCTTCTCTGATCTCAGGTCAGTGACTCCTTGAACTTGAAAAGAACGCCCTTACATAGTGATGCTGTTAAATAATTTTGTCATTTTGATTCCTAAGTGAATTAATTAGTTTGTTATTTATTTACTTACTTGTATATCTGTTTACTTACTTTATATATATACATGCAAACAATTGTCTTTGTGTTTTGCAAAATTGACTGAAGTATAAATGATTCTAATGTCATAAGAAGTGATGACGTATTTATAGTTGATATTTGGGTATTAGTGTCAAAACATTTATGAACTTTTCAGCATGTTTTATTTTTGGTGTGCTCATTATCTGTTCCAGGGTGTGTTAGAGCAAAGTAACAGAATGACTACCCATAAGTTATATGTTATAGAAAAAAGTGTTATTAGAGATTAGAGAGACAATTTATACAAATGTTGTTAAGGATTTTTACTTTGCTGAGTTAATACATCCTGTATAGTTAATAACATTAACATTTCCCTCTAGACTCCATGGTGCAGATGATCCACAAGATGCTAAAGCCTATCCTTTGTTAGTCCACAAATCAAAGCCCAGAAGGCAGTTGTGTATCGCCTGTCAAACAATGACAGCCAGGTAAAGAAAGCATTTGCTGAATTTCTTCTTTTCTAAATTTGTTATATTTACAAACTCTACACATTGTGACCAGCTGTATCTGTCCGTGTACTTCCTGCAGACACATCAATTTGCAATTAAATCGTACTGGTACTCTTTGAAAAAAGCATTGGGTAATGTATGGTATATTAAAAAAAGGGAGTGATGTTTTGTTTTTAATTCCATATAAAAAATGAATAAAGTACAGAGTATATGGTTTGAAGGTCAGGTCAAGGTCAGAGTTGGCAGCTGCTATAAAATGGTCTCCAGGTTTTTGCTGTTTTAGCCTATAATTTCCTTTGAAACTGGCACTCATACTTGGCTGGTATCTCAAACATTATACCAGGAATCAAGGGGACCTAGAAACAGTCTTTAATTACATCTAAAATGGGCAAAAGTAAGAAAAGAAAGAAGTCTCCAAACTCTGATGTAAGGAAGGAAGAAGACAGTTCATTCAGCAGTGCTCAATCATCTTCTTTCATGAGTAGCCTAATTAGTGCTGCAGGGAATGTTTTACATCTCAACAAGGGCACTACCAACAAGGTAAATGAAAACAAAAGTGAGTCTAACAATCCAATGCCCGAGGCTGTTACATCTACTCCTTTGACAACAACTACTGATGAGGAAAATTGTATTCAAACCACAAATAAGAAACTTGACCACATTCTACAAAAGCTGGACAGCCTTACATCTCATATGACTTATATTGAGAAAAGAATAGAGAGTTACGATAAACTAATCGGTCTTGTCTCAACAAGAATTGATGTGTGTGAACTTAAAAACCAGGATATGGAAAGTGAACTTCAGGCAGTCAAAAACAGAACTGAGACACTGAGAAATCAACTTGCCAAACTCAATGAAGATCTTGTGGACTTGCGATGCAGGTCTATGCAGTCAAACTTGGTATTTACTGGCCTGAAAAATGAATCAAGGTCTGAAGACACTGAAGATAAAATACGTCAATTCCTGTATTATGAATTGGGTATAGAAAAGAATATAAAATTTGGAAATGTTCACAGATTCGGGAGACATCAGAGAGGCCAAGACAGACCAATAGTAGCAAGATTTATACACAACACAGACAAAGAGTTGGTGAAATCACAAGCTTACAAGCTAAGAGGCTCTGTCTTTGGCATCCGAGAGCAATACCCACCGGAAATCGAAAGCAGGAGAAGGTTACTCTATCCGATAATGGAGAGGCAAAATGGAAACTATACACGCATGGTGAGAGATAGACTATATGTGAATGGTGAATTGTATAGGAGCCCAGATTGTGACCATACAGAGGTTTTTCGGCAATATCCCTCTGACAGACCAGGGCAACAGATCCCACCAAACAGGGAAACACCTAACATAAGGGGCTCCCAGCAAGGCATGGATCAAGAAGCGACAAATCATTTTCAAGAGTGGCAGCAAGACCATGAAGCCCCTTAGGGATGTGGCCAAGGTCCAATGACAGTATGTGACAACAGCAAGGGACAAGTGGATACAATCACTCCATGTGCTCCGTGCATCGAAAGTGTAGTTGCAGGCAGTGAAATAACCAAGTTATGTATCACATGTTATAATGCAAATGGACTCAAATCGAAAGTTAATCACCCCGGTTTCTGTAAATTACTACTAAAATCAGACATTTTAGGATTCACAGAGACTTTCGCAGAACATGATGGTGAATTCGGGACAATCTCAGCTTTGCACACTTCTTTTGATAAACCCAGGGTCTTAACAAGAAAAGGAGGAGTGTGTATTTTTATCAAAAATCACTTGCTTAAGTTAGTTAAAAATGTTATAAATACCTATACCGATATGGTTTTTCTAATTTTGGATGGGAACTTTTTCAATAGTGATTTAGATATTTTACTAGGTTGTCTATACATTGCCCCAGAGGGATCAGTGCTGTATACCACTTTAAATGAAACAAATGGTATTCAAAGGTTAGAAAATGTACTGCTCGAAATTTTCACAAAATATGGGGACTTAAAACTTTTCTTAATGGGGGACCTAAATGCACGAACTGGTAATTTGCCAGATTATTGTGACGACAGCTTACAACATCTGGACCTTGAGGGAATTTATGACAGGGATGATTTTTGTATGCCACGGGTTTCAAAGGACATCACTGAAAATAATTTTGGAAGATCTTTGATAGAGCTATGTATAGGTCAAAATACGCACATGTTAAATGGCCGCATTGCACCAGATATTGGAGGTGAATTCACATGTCAGAAGTACAATGGCTGCAGTGTTGTTGATTATATTTTGTTACATACAGACCTTTTCATGTGTGTAGATGCATTTGAGGTTCTATCCTTAGATATATCAGATCATTTCCCCATCTCATGTCAAGTCCAGTGCAGGGATGTTTCAAACGAACCCGAAAATGCAATAAGCACATGCAAGCGCAAACTGTACAAATGGAACAACAAAAAAGCAAATAGGTTCCTTGATAATTTACAAAATGATAATATTTTTAGTTTAGGCCATTTCAATTACTTATTGCATATGAATGATGTGAACAATGCTGAACAAATGTTAGAAGGTCTACTACAACGGTCAGGTACTCTCTTCTTAGCCAGGGAAAACAAAGTTCAAAGAAATCAACCTAGGTGGTGGGATCAAGAATGTGATTTATTAAAACAACTTAAATTCAAATGTCTCAATGATTTCAGGAAGTCAAATAATCAAAATGATTTTAAAAAATATAAGGAATGTAAGAGAAAGTTTAAGGCACTTTGTGAAATGAAGAAAAACTCTTACACTGCAAAGGAAGTCGAGCAATTGCACGCTTTAAAAACCACAAAGGAAATGTGGAATTATATGAAGTCTCTGAAAAGTGCTCAGTCTATTAAAAAGAATAATATCAGCCCACAAGCATGGCAAAATCATTTTTACAAGTTATTAAATGAAAATGTAAATGACATCGAAAAGAGCTTCATAACATATATCGAACAGTATACTGAATGGTTTGAGCACATACAGCCTTTAAATAGTTGCAATACTCTAAATGAGCCATTCACTATGGATGAACTATCAAATGTTGTACGCACCATGAAAAATGGAAAATCTCCAGGTCCTGATGGATTAGTGATTGAAATGTTTAAATATGGCTTCAACCATTTATCACCACTGTTGTTAAATCTTTATAATACTGTATTAATAAGTGGAAAATTTCCCTCTAGCTGGTGCAATGCCATTCTGTATCCATTGTTCAAAAAAGGAAATGTAAATGTGGCAACAAATTATAGAGGAATTGCGCTTTTGAATGTCATGGGAAAAATATTTATGAAAATTTTGAGTAACAGATTTAATAATTGGGCAGTGGAAAATAATACAACGATCGAAGCTCAGGCTGCCTATAAAATTGGTTACTCCACTGTTGATCACATTTTTACATTGCAGGGTTGCGTACAAAAATACTTAAGTCGAAGAAAAGGCAGATGCTACTGTATTTTTATAGATTTCTCAGCCGCTTTCGATAGTGTTCAACATAAATTATTATGGTATGTACTTGCAAAAAACTGTGTAAATGGACATGTCGTCACAGTTTTACGCTCTATTTATTCCCAACTGCAATCATGTGTTCTAACAAATTTAGGCCTTACTGAGTATTTTAAATGTAACATGGGCACTCGACAAGGATGCATGTTAAGTCCTTTTCTATTTACATTATTCATAAATGAATTTTATCATAGTTTGAACAAGGCTGGATGTCAGGGTATTTACATAAATGAGGTGCTTCCAAATCTCATGTCTTTGCTTTATGCTGTTGACATTGTATGTATTTCAGACACTGTTGGGGGGTTACAGAAACAAATCCATAAATTAGAAAAATATTGCAGCCAGTATGGTATGCTAGTAAATGTCCAAAAGACAAAAATAGTAGTATTTAGGAGAGGTGGTAAAATAAAGAAAAATGAAAGGTGGTTTTTCAAGGGCAAAAAATTAGAAGCAGTACCTGCATATAAATACTTAGGAACATTTTTTGGTGCTTTCCTTGGTTGGGGTAAAACTATCCAACATCAAATCAACCAAGCCAATAAAGCATTATTTGTTATTAAGTTATATTTGAAAAAACAAGCATGTATTTCCTTTAAGGAAGCTTTCTTTCTTTTTGATAGAATGATAACACCCATTCTTTTCTATGGTGCTGAGATATGGGGTCATAAACCAGTAGAAAGTATTGAAGTCTTCCAAGCAAAATTTTGTAGATATTTACTAGGTGTTAGTTCAAATACTGTGACGGAAGCTGTACTAGGCGAATGCGGAAGATATCCATTGTATACCAACTATATGGTAAATAGCATTAAATATTGGTTAAAGCTTGTACATATGAATGAAGATCGCTATCCTGCTCATGTATATGATATGCTATTTAAATTAGATTCAAGTGGAAGGCACACTTGGGCCACAGATGTTAAAATGTTGTTATATAGATATGGATTTGGATATGTCTGGGAGGCTCAGGGTGTGGGAAATTCTGTTTTATTTATTAAAGTTTTCAGAGAAAGATTAGTAGATAATGCTGGCCAAATATGGCACAGTAACATATGTAAGAGCAGCAAACTGGATACTTATTCATTATTTAAGAGTACGTTAACACTGGAGTGTTACTTATTAAGCATTAAAAATGTAAAACATAGAACCTCCCTAGCAAGATTCAGATGCGCAAATCACCTACTAAATATTGAGAGCGGTAGATGGAAAGGTATAGAAAGATGCAATAGACTCTGTTTAATCTGTAAAAAACATAATATTTATGATGTTGAAGACGAATATCATTTTTTAATGACATGTGTAGCATATACAGAATTAAGAGAAAAATATTTGCCAGTGAAAAACCCTTCTAAAAAAAGTTTTTTAAGATTAATGAACACAAAAAACACAAATTTAATATCTAGTTTAGCTGCTTATATATTTAATGCTTTTTTATTAAGAAAAGAAATTTTAGATCACTGACAAAAACTAATAATCCTTAATACTTCTCACAGACTTTATTATTATTATTATTATTATTATTATTATTATTATTATTATGTACTATGGGCCGGAGGCCTTGAAAAACGGAATAAATTATCTTCTTCTAAAGTACAGAGTTTTTATAAAAGAAATTTGTTTGTACCAGGTATTATGGAATACATCATCACATGTGTAGTTGTCCAAAAGTTGGCTGTGCAGAATGTATCTTTTGTAGTAAGGTTGGAGTATATACATTCAGTTTCTGAGCTTGATTGCCTGGTGGATTCAAAACCAATTTAAATGGATCAAAACATTCCCACAATTGTCCACCATAGCTATGAGGAAAATGAGTGTGTCAACATTGGTGTTGAATTTTAAATTAATTAATTTTATTTACTACACAATAATGAAATTAAAATATTGCCGAATTCCCAGTAAACCTTTTACACCTCATTTCCATAGATTAGATCGACCTACTTTAGATCGACCTAACTCCCTGGGGGTTCACACTAAAAAGCTGTCAGCCGGGCGGACACGAAAGTTAATTACCCCCTTAAAGCTTGTAGTAGGCGGGATGGACATTTAAGTCGGATTATCTGAAAGTAATCTAGTGAGACTCCCCGCGGGGATAGATCGATCTAAAATCTATGGGAATAGAGCCTTAGAGCGCATTCAGAACAGATGATCCGCAGACTAACTGATCTGCTGACTAAATATGGCCAACCCCACTTCAAAAGCTATACTGCTAATTCCTTGGTGGTCTCCCCACCTCCACATGTGCTGTTGCAGCAGGGGCCAAGCAGTTAAATCTTGAAACCCAAATTTAATACATTTATTGGTGCATGTGGAGGCAGGAGACAATTAGGAATTAATGGCATCTCTTTTGAAATGGGTTCAGCCATATTTAGTCTGCAGATCAGTTAGTCTGCAGATCATCTGTAGTGAGTGCTCGCATAAAATCACAATTAGATTTTACCACAGAAAGCAATAATTTAAATTCAGTTAGAGCAGGGACTTGCATTGAAGCTGCTTGTTCTTATTTTAGATTTAATATTCAGGACACAAATACTAGATTCTATAAATAATAGATGTGTTTTTTTTACAGGTGGATCGTCCATGGCAGTCCTTTGGCACCTGAGGATCCTAGCCATTTCTGTGATGTTTGCTTCAAGATGTTGCATTATGACAAGAACAAAAAAAAGCTTGTAGAGTTTAAAGCATTTCCATTTTTGGACAAGACAGCTGTGTTCTGATATGCAACAAAATAAATGAAAAACAGTATTATGAAAGTTCTGAACATCCTTAACTTTTAATCAAAGTTATCCAAGACAGTGGAGCAGTGAAAATCTGTTTTGTTAAGTGTTAACTGGAAAAAATCATCAGCAGAATCAGAACTTGGAAAAATTAAACAGGTAAAAAAAATTGAGCAGATACAATAATGCTGACACCATGTTGTGGGTCTCTGAGGTCATGTTGTGATCGGGTTTAGCATACAGACGGTTCTGTTAGTTAAAAACTTTGAATGACTTAATTCCAAAGATCTGTGGTTATTTGTATATATTAATTGTGAATATATTTTTACTACCTAATTTTGTGACATTGAAAGATTACCAACGATGTCTAAACAAAAAATTAATTCAAATCAACTAAGTTATTGGAAATTTTGAGAGCATCCCGCGGGTGTTACTACTGTAAATATTCATTTGTTGTCAAGCACAGACTAAAAGCTTCCACCTTTGACTTTGAAGCTGGTATTTAATTTGAGATATTTCAGCCATAAATCGTTAGAGAGGCTTGAATTTTAACACCTGGTAGAGGATAGCGCGTCTGATTCGACAAATTGTGCTAGCGGTGCTGTGAGACTGGCAAATGATGTTGAGCTGGCTGTGACGTGATTGTGCTTTTTAACATGAATATTCTAAAAATAAGCGATGTGAACGTTTTCTGAAGGAGAACTTCGTTCACGTTTCAAAAAAAAAAAAAAAAAAAAAAAAAAAAAGATTAGGGGTAGTAGCTTCAGAATATTCAACCTGAATTAAAAAATGTGATGTTATTCCCATTTTGTTTTTAAAACACATCTTTTGAAAACTTTAAAAAAGCGAAGAATTTACGCAGTCCGCGTTTTTCAGATGCAAATTACAGGATAGATCATTTATTTTCAAAGCTTTCAAAAAACCATGAGCGGGATTTTTCTAAATGTGTGCTTCAACAAAATCCCTTACATCACCAATCCATCAAAAATATCCGATCTGTATTTTTGATAAAAAATTCTTGATATGTTTGTCGAAATGCCAAACGTTTGCTCTCAAAAAATTATCAGAAAGTGGAGAACCCACCACTTTTCCAAATAAGGATAATCATTTTTATATTGCTCAGGATGATGTGGTATTTACGTGTTGCAGACCCTTTGGCTACATCAACTAGTCAGTACTTTAAAGATGATGCCTTTTGTCAAAGGTTAGGTACAGGAAGTATGGGTTAGTATGCAACTCGGCGTTTGAAGCTCACAGGTTATCGCAAATTAAATCAAACGTTTCCTCAGTTTAAGTTTCTAAACTTGAGCGCGTGGAGTATCCCCACGCTATCTTCGTACATGATGTTCTTCTTTTGAATAAAAAATAAAGATGGTTACATTTAGCACTGTTGCAATTCAACTAGCCTGAATGACGTAAATGACACGACCCCTAATTCTCTCAATCATTTAGTGGATATCCTCCGACAGACTTTTTCATTAAAACTGTCCTGCTACTTAAAACCCACACGTGCTGCGTTGTGCCCCTGAAGGAAAGAAAGAGCGCATTACTTAACCTATCCAGGATAGCTCGTGCAATACCCATATAAACCTTAGGTTACATTCTACCATCGCATGCTGTTATTAATACCTGTCTAACCGTCTGTTCGTTAGCAGGTGAACTCGGTGTTTTCCAGCCATGAGTTAAGACAGGTTAACCCGTACCATACCGTTAACAAATCCTTTGCGAGTAATGAATTTTGCAAGGTCTAAGGGGGTAATAAGCATCTTGCGGGGGAGATTGAGGTGAAAATAATATCCATCATTCTTAATTCCTGAAGGTTGTGCCCTCTAACTTGGGCCAAACGTGTATTGGTGCTAATTGCATTTTAAAAGAACTTGGTGGCTAGTATTATTTACAGCGGATGGGATGCTAGAAAAATAATACTATTGATAAAATTATAAACTACTGTACATTTCCTTCTCAAACTTTTCGCGTGCTCTTTGGTCCTACCTATTTTTCGCACTCCCCCTCAAAGGGCTGAGATATTTGATATTTACACCTGTCTTTGAGATCCGTGTCTGGCAGCTCATGTATGGGTGATTTAATGGCATTTCCGCCTTATGTTTTATACTACCCCTTCTGGATTATATCTGGTCAGACGGGGG